TATTATTATTAAGCACTTTTATCTGAAATCTGAGATGTTTTAAAATTGATGAATAACGTTACAAAACAAATACAAAAATAATGAGATCAAAACCAGGATCAATTTTAGGATCAAGATCAATATTTGATCAACTTTAAATGCCCATATCTTGCAAAAAAATAACACTAGATTGATTCTAAAATTTCATTTACATGCTATTGTAAGTCTTAAATTTTATCAAGTCAATATTAAATATTTAAACTATGAGGATAAACAATGGAGAATATTTGAGTTTTTAAATTTGATCCTGATCTTGATCCTGATTCTAAAAAGATTGTGAACAAGGGGCCTGAGTTTAGAGTCAGGGCAGTCGTTACTTCCATGCATGCTGACCAGGCTCTATACTGTTCAGGTAACATCTTTTTTAGCCTGTCTGATTTGGTGAAAAAGTTCAGCTATTATAATTGCTTTGTCATCGTTGTCATCCTTTTTGTTGTCTTAAATATAGCCTGATCCTTAAAGAATTGTTCAGGGTTTCAACATTAAAGTTGGGAGTTCTTGATTATCATGATAACATAATTATAGTTGTAAGACAAGGGCCATAACTCTGAGAGCAATATTTTAGGAGAGGCAATACTTCAGCTGTTGTGTTCCTTTATAAATTATGTCAAAATTGCCTATTAATAGAATTATTTCAAAACTTTGAATGATATCAACATGAAACTAGGAATACATGATTGCATGTTTATAATGCCAAAGTACAGTTTATAGATAAGGGACATTATCATGAAAACAATATTTTTGGAGTAGCCCCTGTTTAACTAGAGACTATATTTTTTGCCAAAATTGATACAAAATGAATTATTGAAAGTAGGATGATTTCAATACAATTAAAGCTATCAACATGAATCTATGGAACACTTGATCTGTCATGACAAGGAACAGTTGTCAGACAAGAGGCATTATCTTGAAAGCAATATTTTTATGAGTTTTGCCACTTTTTAGTTTACGAAATTTATTAACAGACGAGCATTTACACACATGTAGTGTTTTGTTTTTTATTTTGAAATCCTTTATACTTTGAATTGACTGTTCCAAATTCAAAGCTGTGGTCAAATTCATTACTTTACTTCTTTAACAAGTTTACGGTTAGTTTTTTAAGTTCGACTATTTAAATAATAGGGAGAGCTATCCTCGGTAACGTTTCCCAAAAATACTGAAGAGAAAAATTGAAATTTCCACACACTTGTTTTTTTTCTGTGATTATACATGTGTATAACAAAATAAGCATGGGTCCCATAACTCTTAATTTACCTTTTGACAGAGCTACACCCCTTTTGTAACTGTCAAGCACTGGGACTGCTATAATAGTTAGATTGTTTAACGTCTTACATACAGCAATGTAAGACAGCGCTAACCTTGTTGAAGACAGATCTTTATTGGTTATTATGAATGTGTTGTGTTTCATTACTTTCTTTATTTATACATGATTTTGAATGATTAATTGACATAAATAAATATAATACTGTTTTATAAAAACGTTGATTTTTGTTTTTGATTATTTTCATAAAAGGTGTATTGGACCATTTAGCTGTTGGTAGTCAACCTAATTAAACTAGTAACTTCAAGATACTTTTGGATGGGCAATGACTATTTCAAAATGGTAATAGTTTGACAGGAGGAAATTGTCTATAAAATGCCTGTTTGTGTTTGAAATTAATGTATACAACCTCTCATGTGCCATATGGACTTTTTACGAGAGGAAAGCTGATCTAAGATTATGTAAAAATCTTTTTAAAAAACTATGCCTATAAGTTTCTGAGTGTTGTGTGTGTTAGTTAAAATGTTCATTGCATCCCTTTACAAAAGCAAACATGTACAGTATGAATAATGTGTACTACTTGTTGTGTTATTGCTGCTACTCATTTAAAGCAGGTATAGGCTAACTATTAACTCTCTTGCATTTTGGACCTAGGATATTTATTCATTCAAATATATGAATGTAAAATTAAGGATGCTATAATTAAGTTTGAATGAAAAAAATATCCTAAGTCCTTATTGCTACATTAGTTTGAATGAACAAATATCCTAGGTCCTTAATGCTACATTAGTTTGAATGAACAAATATCCTAGGTCCTTAGTGCTACATTAGTTTGAATGAACAAATAACCTAGGTCCTAAGTGCTACATTAGTTTGAAGTTTGAATGAACAAATATCCTAGGTCCTTAGTGCTACATTAGTTTGAGTGAACAAATAACCTAGGTCCTAAGTGCTACATTAGTTTGAATGAACAAATATCCTAAGTCCTTATTGCTACATTAGTTTGAATGAACAAATATCCAAGGTCCTTATATATAGTGCTACATTAGTTTGAATGAACAAATATCCTAGGTCCTTATTGCTACATTAGTTTGAATGAACAAATATCCAAAGTCTTTATTGCTACATTAGTTTGAATGAACAAATATCCTAAGTTCTTATTGCTACATTAGTTTGAATGAACAAATATCCTAGGTCCTTATATATAGTGCTACATTAGTTTGAATGAACAAATATTCCAGGTCCTTAATGCTACATTAGTTTGAATGAACAATATCCTAGGTCCTTAGTGCTACATTAGTTTGAATGAACAAATAACCTAGGTCCTAAGTGCTACATTAGTTTGAATGAACAAATATCCTAAGTCCTTATTGTTACATTAGTTTGAATGAAAAAATATCCTAGGTCCTTATATATAGTGCTACATTAGTTTGAATGAACAAATATTCTAGGTCCTTAATGCTACATTAGTTTGAATGAACAAATATCCTAGGTCCTTAGTGCTACATTAGTTTGAATGAACAAATAACCTAGGTCCTAAGTGCTCCATTAGTTTGAATGAACAAATATCCTAGGTCATTAGTGCTACATTAGTTTGAATGAACAAATATCCTAGGTACTTAGTGCTACATTAGTTTGAATGAACAAATATCCTAGGTCCTTAGTGCTACATTAGTCTGAATGAACAGATATCCTAGGTCCTTAGTGCTACATTAGTCTGAATGAACAAATATCCTAGGTCCTTACATCGTCGGATACCCACGGTTGCTTAACATATAAATAAAATTGCGTCGATATACAGCAACAGTTGCGTAAAATATTGACCAATGAAATCGTGTTTAGCAAAATTTATATTCTTTGACAGCAAAGATAAACAACTATCAGAAACACTGTGTAAACCTGTTTCACGTGTCATGCCAATATAAAAAGCAAAACTATCCAGTTTGGTAGGTCCTTAAGGCTACATAATTATACATGTTTGAATAAACAAATATCCTAAGTCCTTCATGCCACTTGTTCATTTAGTAGATAGAAACATTTAAAAATACTGAGAAAGAAAATAAAAGATTTGAGTATTTTGTATATTATGATACCCCCGCACAACAAAGTTGTAAGGGGGGTATACTGGAATCAGCTTGTCCGTCCGTCCGGCCGTCCGACTTTCCGGCCATCCGTCGGTTTTTTCTTGTCCGCCCAATAACTTAAGATTCCTTTGACCCTTAGTCTTCATATTTGGCATGGAGGTTAGTCATGATTAGTAGATGACCCCTATTGATTTTGAGGTCACTAGGTCAAAGGTCAAGGTCACAGGGGCCTTGACTTCAAAAAGCTTGTCCGCCCAATAACTTAAGATTCCTTTGACCTACAGTCGTCATATTTGGCATGGAGGTTAGTCATGATTAGTAGATGACCCCTATTGATTTTGAGGTCACTAGGTCAAAGGTCAAGGTCACAGGGGCCTTGACTTCAAAAAACTTGTCCGCCAATAACTTAAGATTCCTTTGACCCTTAGTCTTCATATTTGGCATGGAGGTTAGTCATGATTAGTAGATGACCCCTATTGATTTTGAGGTCACTAGGTCAAAGGTCAAGGTCACAGGGGCCTTGACTTCAAAAAGCTTGTCCGCCCAATAACGTAAGATTCCTTTGACCTACAGTCGTCATATTTGGCATGGAGGTTAGTCATGATTAGTAGATGACCCCTATTGATTTTGAGGTCACCAGGTCAAAGGTCAAGGTCATAGGGGCCATGACTTCAAAAAGCTTGTCCGCCCAATAACTTAAGATTCCTTTGACCTTCAGTCGTCATATTTGGCATGGAGGTTAGTCATGATTAGTAGATGACCCCTATTGATTTTGAGGTCACCAGGTCAAAGGTCAAGGTCATAGGGGCCATGACTTCAAAAAGCTTGTCCGCCCAATAACTTAAGATTCCTTTGACCCACAGTCTTCATATTTGGCATGGAGGTTAGTCATGATTAGTAGATGACCCCTATTGGCTTTGAGGTTACCAGGTCAAAGGTCAAGGTCACAGGGGCCTTGACTTCAAAAAGCTTGTCTGCCCAATAACTTAAGATTCCTTTGACCATCAGTCTTCATATTTGGCATGGAGGTTTGTCATGATTAGTAGATGACCCCTATTGACTTTGAGGTCAAAGGTCAAGGTCACAGGGGCCTTGACTTCCAAAAGCTTGTCCGCCCAATAACTTAAGATTCCTTTGACCCACAGTCTTCATATTTGGAATGGAGGTTAGTCATGATTAGTAGATGACCCCTATTGATTTTGAGGTCACCAGGTCAAAGGTCAAGGTCACAGGGACATCAAAAAGTTTGTCTGCCCAATAACTTTAGATTCCTTTGACCTACAGTCTTCATATTTGGCATGGATGTTGATCATGATTAGTAGATGACCCCTTTAGATTTTGAGGTCACTGGATCAAAGGTCAAGGTCATAGGGACTTTGACTTCAAAAAGTTTGTCCACCCATTAACTTAAGATTCCTTTGACCCACAGTCTTCATATTTGGCATGGATGTTGATCATGACTATAAGGTGACCCCTATTGATTTTGAGGTCACTGGGTCAAAGGTCAAGGTCACAGGGACCTTGACAAAAAAAGAAGCTTTTCTTCTCAATTGCTAAAGAATGTCCTGTCCGCAATGTATTGATTTTGACATTTTCACATTTGAAGCATGTAGAATACATAACTTAGCAATGCACTGGCTTATAGTAACCTCAGATTTGGCAGGGAGGTTGTCCTTGAGCTCTAAATGGCCACTGTTGATTCTGACAAAGTGGTATGCGGGGTATTCACGCCATGATAGTGGCAGTTCTAGTTTATTAAATAGATCTACGTTTCTCATATCAATCAATACCCAGAATGTTATTAAATAATTGTCAACCTGTATGTACATGTATATATTGTACAGTGAAATTATATTGTACTGGTTTCACATACAGTCCAATCATTTGTAACTTCGCACTATCTCCCGTTTTATTCCGGTGCCATGACTTTGTTTTGGTACAGCATTGGCGGGCCGATCGAAGTACGTTGGCATTCACTATATTCCACTAGCTGACTGTTCCTGTAGGGTTGGACCTTTCGCGTTATCCAAAAGTCACTGTTATTCTGCAGCGGGAGGGACCATAGTTACCTTATTGGCTCAAAGGAAAATACATTTTGTACACATTAACGTATATCGATTTTAGTTGTCAAAAGACTTTCTTGTAATATTGAACACAAACTATCCTCAACAAGAATCAATACATTTGTATGTTGTTTTTTATGTTTTTCATTCGCTGCCGAAAATCCACATCACAACCTTGCTTTAATATCCCCACTCAAAACGCTTGTTGATCAGTTGAAAGAATTCTGTGTTTAATGGTTTAAAATATGCTTCAAGTGTTCTCCGTGTGGAATTTTTCATACTTTGGTGTAATAATCCCTTAGTGGATGGTGGACATTTAAGGTCCACGTCGTCCATGCTTAAACAAAATTTTCCGTTTCGTCCCCTTGTAAACATGTCTTTTGTGAAAAAGCGTTCAATACCTAGAAAGTCCTCAACGCTATTCAAAGCGTCTGATGGAGAAGAAACGAAAGTGAGACCATCCAAAAACAGCATTTGATCGAGTGAAAACATATTTAACCACCTCTTAACATGTTCTTGGTATCGAGAAACAAAAATGTAGAAAGAGTTGTTTTTAACTTGTGTTAAATTTGTCGAAAGTACCGATTCCTCAAACGTTTTGTTCCTGTCTTTAAATGTTCTTTTTGCCATCTGATATTGGGAAAAAGTACGGTTGATTGGTTCCCTGAAAATGAAAATAAGTTTCATATTTGAATTGAATTCAGAAATTGTTTGAGGGCACTTGTTGCAATTAAAGTATGCTGGCGATCTCTCCACAGTGATTTGGTCTGCGTTACTACACGGCATCAAGTTTCTGTACCACTCCCTGGTTTTCTCATTTTGAACAAAATATGCGGTATATCTATTTTCAGGCAGCTTTCCGTCACGTGCCGCTATTTCAGGGTGGGCATTCAAGAATCGCAATAAAGTTGTTGTCCCTCCTTTTGATACGCCTGCTATTAAAGCGTTTGGAAATCGTCTTCTCATTTTGTCCGGACACGGCGGAAGTTCTTCCGTTTTATAATTGTAACTGGGACAGTTTTCTATAAATGTTTTTCTCTTTATTGTGGTTTTTTCCTTCTTCCTGACCGTCTGGGATGAACGCTTTGTCGACTCGTATCTTAACCCAAGGATATCTTCCTTTTTGTGTATCTGAATATGTACCGCCTTTTCCAGGTTTATCACTTTATTAATTATTAATAATAGAACTAGAAATGATAAAAGTTTCAAATACTTGTTCAGACGGTCACAATATTGAAACATTGTAGTTTGCTTTAAAATTTACAAGTCTTTATATGTTATCCAGAGTATTGATATTAACGTAATATGATGTATTTATTGTACCAGCAGACCACAAAATGTAGCGTTAGGTCATGTGCAGCATTATATGTAACAATTGTAACGTCCATTCTTAGGTCACGTCATCACGAATATATATTACATCCTCCACAATTTCTAAATTTACAATGCATCGGATTTTTAAATTGTACAAAAAAAAAAACAACAACAAAACACACAATATAATCGTATCTGATTTAACTTGATAAATATAAGTACATTGTATATACTAGTATATAAGTATATTTATTTGTAGGTAAAACCTGGGACAACATTTTTGATACCCGATAAAACCAGTACACCTCTATAATTGCTCTAATCCTCTTACATCCCCGTGACCATTATTACAGAACCGCTATAAATTCCTGTATAAAAGTGAATTGGTCCATCGATCGTAGGTCTGCAATACCACAAATACATGTATGTTGATAGTATTTAGTACCACACATGACATTACACTGTGAAAGATTTACTTAGGGGTGTTATTGATATATGTGAGATACATATGATCCTAATATAACTTACACAGTGTTTCAATAAAATCACTGTACCCTGTCTTGCGAGCCTGTACAATTTCTTGCGATTACACACACGTCTTACGTCCGATAACTGTGCCTTTCTTGTGAGACTATTAAAAGTTTATATACCGTGACGTGTATCAGGGTCTTTTAAAGAGTAAATATCAATGGACGACAAAACAAAGTGTAGCAATATTTACCAATGAAAATTCATTCAACAAAAATGAGAGAGTAAAAAGTACATAACATTGAAAAAATCAGTAAAATTCATAGAGGAAATAACTCTTAAAATAAAGATGCTAGAGTTATGAACCTTGTCATACATGATGTGAATATAGCTTATAAATTAAAGAATGTCACAGGGTGAGAAGAATATGCAACCTGGCGGGGACTGGAACCCAGAACCATCGGAATACCGTCCAGCGCCTATACCGACCGAGCTATCCGGCCAAAATAGTGCCGTGTCAAGAACAATTATTGTTTAAAGTAGATACCATTATAGCAACTAAAAATATACATTTAAAAGTAATAAAAACGTGGATTTTACTTGCTAAATGGAGACAATTCTGGAAAACCGGTGCTTTATTTATAAATCTTATCACATATAACGCATATGTTCATAAGGAATACAAGTAGTATAAAGGGGGGGGGGAGAGAAATCTTCGGGTCCCGAAGATTTGCTCCTTCACGAAGATTTGCCACGGCCATAAAGCACGCGCGTATTTCTCCCATCTACACGTTTCTCAGTTCATTAATTGAAAAGGCATAGAAATTATCAAAATAGCTTTACTAAAGTTGCGAGAAGGATACATAAATAAGAAAGGAAATGAAAGAGTACTTCAGTTGAAAAACGTGTCATCATGACAATATAACAGTATTTTTTTTAATTTTTTAATATATGGATATTTTATTGCATAAATAACAAGGTTAAACACATTTTAGGTCAAGATCAATGCCACTAGCACCTTTGGATGCTGACAGCGGGATGAGTTTTACAGTTTTCCAGGTAAGCCAATGAACGCTGGTATTGCTTTACATATCACAATCCTCTTGTTATATATTTCACTTATTTGACCTATTCTAGCTTCTTATCAAATGATTTTGCATTTTTTCTTTGTTCTTTCTACCTTCCTGCGGAAATGTCAATGGAAACGGGGTTTACACTCGTGACATTTGAAACAATAGGGAAAGGATACAGTCCAACGTACGCTGTACCTATTGAACTAACCGGTAATGTTGCAGTCTCCTGGACTAAAACATAATACTTTTTTTTTATAAAGTCTACATCGTTTTGTAAAAAGCACAATTTTAGTAAAGTCATTTGCATTCAAACATTTTACAAAGCAGATTAGGACTAACTAGAGTATCCTCTTATATTTACGTTTTCAAATACATAGCAAATCGACACAGCTTACTCATCATACCTTTATTGAAACACAGTATTAAGAATTTAATGTCATAACATGTTCAGATTATGAAAATACAAAAAGAAAACTTATATAGTAGTGCAAAAGATTGAAAACTACATGTATATCTAATTATTGGACTGTCCTCTCCCTGAAAATCGTTGTAATATAAGTAATTTGTTAAGCTTTGGTATTTAAATAAGATAAGGTCAAAAGGATAATCATAAGTAACTAATTTGAAACGGCCTAGTAAATAATAGCACAGGAACTTGAAATTCTATCAAATAACCAATATTAATGATAATATCCAAATATACCCCCTATATACTATAAATAAACACTGTGTTTATTTATACTGTATAGGGGGTATATTTTAGATATTATCATTAATACAAATGTAATATTGATAGAATTTCAAGTTCCTGTGATAATAGATATAATTGTAATACAAACGAAAATTTAATACAGGTTCTACTGCAGACTTGTTACAATGCTAGACCAGGGTCTTTTTATTTGAAAGACCGTGGCTATGTTAAAAAAGATCTGGCGAAAGGGCAATACCTCGGAAACAAAATAACATGAAAAATTGCAGACTCGGTTTGATTGAGTTTATTCTAATATTTGAAGTGGCATCTCATGAAATTAAAATGTTAGCTGAAACATAAATCTGTTTTATTCACCTTATCAGGAGAGTAAAAACCCATAGTTATAATTTACAACGTATTGAGAAGGTCCAAAGGTATTAAAAGGATCCATTTAACACATATTTAACGTGAAATAGTAGCTTGACATTATATTCACATATTCACAAGGATATATAAATGCTCATTACATACATAGACGTGAAGTATTAACAACAAAACAAAAGAAACACATATAAGAGAGAAAGAAAAAGAAACACGACAAGGTTTTTGACACACATACGCACGCGCGCGCACATGAATCCATCTTTATAAGATTAACAATAACAAGGGCCCATAATATAAACATACAGTTATAAAAGATAAATCTTTATAATTACAAATATAACATTACAATTTAATTCTAAGAAAGAACTATAAATCAAACTTCTTTGTCTTTTTAAAACACACCACCAGCTGTGTACGTGATTTTGACAGGTCGTTTCCCCGGATATATAGAGACCTACCTCGTCTTAATGATTTGATCACTCTTCCTAGATGGAAAGTGATTATTAAACACCATATATGTAGGCGATACGAATACCGAGGTTGGATTGGCAAGGTGATAAAATTGTTAAAAAAAAGTAACACGTTTTCAAGTTAAACTGTAATTAATCTGTCATTTCTAGTAGATAATAGTATACATACAAAAAGCAAACTATATTCTATATAATAATAATTCCCTAACATCTGTGACTAAAAATGTAACTCTCTGTCCCAGCCCAAAATATACCATAGCCCTCACTGCAAAAATCTGGAAAGAGCTATTATTTACACGGTATTGTGCACGACATAGTACAGATTTTAAATAGGAAAACCGCGGGAAATGCTGTCAAAACAAGTACGTTGACAAGTTCAGTGGACAACAGTATATATTTTTTTCCAGATTTTCTTGCCAATTTAATAGATGGTTTCCATTATCGCTTTTATATATAGTATGAAGAAATATTTTTTGAACTTGTAATTTATTGAATGTCTGTGATCTTTTCCTCTTTGCATAGTTTACTTACCATTTACCACGTAATATAACAAGTTTTCGCGATGTATGAACTACTCATGGAAGAGTATATGAACTACTCGTGAAAGAGATATATCAATATTGTTCACAGACACTTGAGTGTTAGACCCAATGCACCGGTTAGAACCGCCCCTATGGACAGTCACTTACATTTTTAACGTTTTTACACAAATAAGGTGTCTGTCTTGACTATTAACATTGTTTTTAAACCAATTCCACAAGAATTAAAAAATTCCCATACTGTCAAGTGCAATTTGGTATGCCGGTCAGTTGGTTCACCGCTTCTTTTCCACTCAATAACGAAAGAACCATAAAATAAAGATGTTACAAGAAAGCGGGTATCCCTGTCTGTAGCCTCCTCACATTTTTACAAAATTTGACAGGAATCTATATTGCAAATTCCTCAAATTAGAGTGACCAAGATATTTCCCTTATAATCGATATATTGACCAAGTTGCAGCTTTAAAACTTTGTACCATGGACACAGATGGGTAAAAAAAATCAACATTTGACCTGTTCTGGCGCATCTTTATTCAATAAAACCTTCTTTTCAGGTTGATATTATACATGTACCTAATGCACCCATAGTTTGTAATGGGGAATGTCCTTGGTAGAATCTTACCATCTGCTAACTATTGGCATAGACGAGATATATATAAAGACCAATCAGATGCAGTCAGTACTAGAACAGGAATAAATGTAAATGATTTAGTGCCAGTATTCAAGGGAGACGATGATGGGACATCAGTTGACGAGGTTACCTTTGCTGTATCCGAAGTGATGGTAATACTGGACATCCTGGAAGCAGTTAGGCAAGAAAAGTTGCAAGAAGTACGACAAAAAGTGAATTTACTAGATCAGCAAGAAGGTAAGTTGCAAATAAATCCATTAATTTAAGCTTTAACTAGTGGGCGGCTACAGAATTTACAAATTACACCAGCGCAGACCAAGATCAACTAGAACATCCATGTGGATTGATCATGGTCTGCACTGGTCGCTATTCTATCAACATTTATTTTGAAAATTTTCCGAAGATATTGAATGGTTTGAAAGATGAACAAGACTTAGTTCATTAAAGCAATATGCATCCAGACTCATGCTAATTATTAAAATTTTGAAAATGTATTTAAAAGTATAATGTTGTGAACTGAACAATGAAAATAACTAACATTTTCCAAACAGCACTTAAACCATGCTATTTACCAGAAAGCGGTCAAAATATACCAGAAATAGGTCAAAATATGCAAAAATAGCCCTTACTGTGTTAGTCTTGCCCTATAGATATGGTGATGAATACTGCAAAATCAATCTAATTGCACATAACAATTTGTAAATTATTATATTATTAGATATTTAACAGGGTAAGGGTTAAAGAGTACAGCACAAGTGTATGATTCTTTTGTTTGCTTGAATTTTTGATAATAAGACTTCCAATTAGATATTTAATTCTTAAAGGCACATTATGCCTCAGAAACCAATAATTGTTTTCTTCTTAATATAGGGCTTACATAATTTTAAGTATAGCGATTGAATAATGATTTTAGAGCACTTTAGATGCTTATCATATTAAGAAAGAAGCGTGTAATTTGAAATTATTTGTTATAAAAGCAGAAAATGTAAACAAAGTAGTATTTTGACTTCCTTACAAAATACCCAATCACTATTGTGAGGTGCACTAATTGACAATAGACAATAGAAGTAAAAGATGGTTCAAGTAATTAGCCAATGAGTAGCCTTGGTTATAACTGGAATATATAACAGGACATAAAAAAAAAAGTTTTCGAAAAAAAAAAGCATTTCTGAGGCAAAATGGGCCCTAAAGCCAATGTTTAAGGTTTTTCTATTAAGCATTGACTCCCTGAATACCTCAAGTGCCACCGGTCATTAACTCTAAAACTGACTTACTGAGGCCATCCTGTACATTGGCATTTCAAAAAAGCAGAAAGAAGAATAAAAATTAACTGGTATGCGAGAAGTAAATCCCTAAAATTTACATTGTTCAGAGATCATGATAGGTTGAGAGAACAAAATTAACATGTAGGAAATGATGTAGCAATTTTAAAAAAGCTACTAATTGAAACTGGAAAAGTTTTACAGGATTGTAAAAATTTTTATTGAAATTTTGCTGTCTCTGCATTGAAAAATTGCTATATGCTTCCATTTATAACTGCAGATATAAGTACATTTTGAGACTCATAATTTTTTATTTTTTTTTGTTTCTCGCATCTATTTTGAGACTCATAATTTTTTGTTTTTTTTTTGTTTTTGTTTCTCACATCTTCCTAACCAATTTTTTTTTCATTTCTCAAACGCTTTTAACCTAATTTTGATTAGAAAAGAAGAGAAAAAAGATGAAAAAAGAAAAAGAAGTTACAGAAGAAGTGATTTTACAATTTTGAACTGTTGCTAAAAGAATGTCACTCTTAATTTCTAAATAACAAACTTCAAGTATCTTCAAGTTTAAAATAAGAACAATATCTTCCCTTTTTTTTGGTTTGTGGCATTTCTATTTTGTCCAATATTCTGTCATGTTTGATTCAGTGAATTTGGATTGACGCTTATTATACAAATGTACACTAATATGGTATGGCATTGTCTGTCTATCTGTCTGTATGTCTGTCTGTCTGCAAAGTTAAACAATTGAGCATTGAGCATCCCAGTTTTATGTATATATTTTTAAGAGATTGTTCAACTTTATAAACAAGTTTGACAATTCTAAGTTGTAAAGGAACGTTGCTTAGCTCCAAAAATTTAGCTTTTAGAATAATGCTCATTGTCTAACAACTGGACCTTGTCATCATGAACAAGTTTTCCTAGTTTCAAGTTGATACCTTTCATAGTTCTAAAATTATTCCACTGTACAAAAATCCTTAGATTACTAGTCTGAACATAATCATTTAACTCTCAGCATAGTGGTGAGGTATATAATGGATTCAGCCTATGGGACCTGAGTTAATTGTTTGCACTGCTTGCAAAAAATATCGGTACATATTGAAAAAAAATTTCCCTATTAGGCATCCTTTTAAAGGCACATTATGCCTCAGAAACAAATAAATCTTTACTTCTTTTGAAAAGGGCAAACATGAATTTTATAGCGTTTTAAAACTGATTCAGGGCATGTTTAGAAGCTTAGTCTGAAAGTAACCAATATTATTCTGTCTGACTAAATGTTCATCAAAATCTACCCAGTGGTTTAGATGTTATTGGAAATCATGTTCAACAGACTACAGTGATTAGAGCTAAAGTTGTAAATGATAACTCAAGGTTTACACCCGTCTCAATCTAGTGATGGAACATCCATGGCTGAGTAGTTGTTATGTGGTTACCTGACAAAACCATTTGTCCCTTACTGCTGTAAGTTCAAGTCTTTCCAGGGGCTTTGAATTCTTTCATGTGAGAAAGCTTTCAAACTATCTTATTGAACTTCAATGGTTCTGCTAGGTAAATTGCTCACTGGAGCCTAAAATAATTGAAGTAGGGACTCTTTAGCCTAAGTTAGGTCTTCCTCCACCAGTAAAGCTGGAAAGACGCCATATATGTCAGACCTTTACAGTATTGGTGCATTATTTAAAATCCAACCCAAACTTTGAAAGAATACAAGCCAATAGAACTTCAAAAGTGTATAAAAACATTGATACTTTACATATTGTGGTATATATTTTCTATATTAAGCTACTTTAGCAACATTAATATTCTTGAAACATCTGTTGTCATGTCAAATATTAAGATTAAAGAAAATGATGGAGCTCTCTATTCAATCAATATCTGGGACTGTGAGTTTGGTTATGTCAATAATGTATACCGGAGGAATTTGTTTATAAAGCAGCTGTCACAGCTAATGTATGCAACAAGCAGCCTATACTGCTTGACAAACTTCTGTATATACCTCAAACCAATCCTTCCTGCTTGCACTTATCCAGAGAGACCAGGGAGTTTGGGATATTAAGGGGTCATGATCAGAGCACCCCTCCTAAGGTTTTGGTATTATAAATGAAAATAGTATATTATTTTCCCAATCCACAGGAAAAAAATCCCAATTGAAAGTTACAAAATAAAAATATTGAAAAACAGATTCTAAAGTCTTTGAAAATATTAAAGGCTTCTTCACTGTTATAGTGCTTAAATGTTTGTAGATGCTATCCTAGACAGCATTCATTTAATCACTGCAAAATTTAAGTCATGCATTTTTTCCTTATTTTTAACAAAAAATCGCTGAAATTCAAAATTTTATGGGTATGGGTCATGTTCCCAAATCCTGGAAAAAAAACTGTAATGAATAAGTCACATGTATTTGATTAAATTTGTACTTTTGATACTTCATTTATTGCTTTTCTTAAAGGTAATAAATGACATAAATAAATTTAAGGAATATTGTCATATTTTTTCGGAATCTAATATTTTTATGCAATATCAAAAACTGCTTACTATGCATTTCTGTAAAAGCCATTCAGAATTATCACTATGTTTTAATAAAAGAAAAATTTTAAACTCTTTCAAAGGATGGTTTCACATGCCCCATTAGCACATTAACACATTATATTATATTGTTCAGCATTTCCTGAGTTCTTTTTTTATTTCTTTTTTATTGTTTTTTTGTTTGACATGTTTTGTGTTTCCATGCAAATCACCACAACCCAAGTTGTTTCCACTAAAGTGAACACAAAAGATGACATGTTCCCCCATAAATTGTTAATTTTGCTATATTCTCCTTAGAATCTGTCAAAAAAAGTGATGTAATTTAAATGGTGATTATGTAATATGTCTTTGAATGTTCTATGATAACCACTTCATGAACATGTCTCATCTTGTATGATAAGAAATTCATGATTTCACCACTATATATTAACTGGTAAATACTGCTCAGGGTTAAAGGGTTGAGGCATCAGATTGTAGCCACAGTTTATCCCTGCATGATTGTAAGAGGCAACAAAATGGATTTGAATTACTGGAATCTATGGATTTCTTAATCAGCTTCAGCAGGTGAGGTTGTTTTGACCCCTTGTGTTGCTTCACCTGAGGTAAGCCAAAATCATTTTTCCTGTTTTGGCACCATATGACTTAATTTGTGTTATTGTGCCATAAAAAAAAAGCAAAATAAAAAAACAACTAATAAACAATAAAACAATAAATACTGCTTCAGCCAATTCTGAAAGAGCATGGATGGTATTATGCTCAATCAAACTGGGCCTTCAACATTTTCAATTATACTGTATTTTGGCTATTTTTAGAGATTCTGAGTGTTTCTCTCCATGTTGTATTTCACTATTCTACTCTGATTTTAATCAAACATAATTTTAAGTATGTTTTTTTGCATCATGTAACAGAAAACATAATCAAATATCTGATGTAGCATCAGATAAGATTTATCCATGTGAGGGGCTTTGGAAAGAATAATTATATTGAAGTTAAAATGCAGAACTAATTAAATGCTAAATGTTGTTATGGTTTCCATAAGAGAATGTCAAAATCTTATAAATGGAAAAAGTAACAGAAAGTATTTTAGTCAATATATTAAATATGTATAGGCTAAATTTTATTTGGCCTAAATAGGACGCCATATGCTTGAACATGGAAACATGTCATTAGTTACAATATATAATATAGGTTTTCTCATTTAGGGCAGACCTTTTCTTTTACCTGGAGACCATATGCCGCTTTTCATGGAATGCCACGAAAGCGTCACATAGACGGTTCCATGTTAGCTGCAATATGAACACATCTGCGGATGTTTCTTAATTCAAAATTTCACTATTTTTATGTTAAATGTTGAAATCTGCTTAAGCCAGTGCTAGGGGGCGTGGACGGTAGTTTGCACTTGACATCCATGTCAATCATACATCAATCAAACTAAGTCTGCAACAGTTTCAATTTTTGCCACTTTAGACTTGCAGTCTTTCGTAAGGGTTTCCTATTTTTCTCTATTTTGAACATGGATACAATATCATGAAGTACAATTTTACAGCTGAACTGAACTTTTTCTCTGCGGTGTAGTATAATATATATATAATATACATATACAATATTGGTGAGATTATTGTTGATTTTCCTACAGAAGCCTTGTAGATTCAATCTTGACACTACAACAAGGGATGACTCATCACACTTTTTCTAAATGACAATATTAATTAATATATACATCCATGAAAGAAGATAGTGCTTTTCATTATTTCTGGAATTTAGCATTCGTTGTTTATATTTCCAACATGTTTAAGTATATTTGGCCAAGTAAGTGAATCTGAATTTATCTATTTTCGTCTTAATTTAAGTGTAAGTTTTCGCCATGGAAATTATGGTACTAGTTTATAAATTCAGGAATAGTGGTAAGGTGGAAATTGATACTTATTGAAAAGCATTTTTGCAAGTTTTGATTGATTTGAAACAGTTTTTTTTATTTCATATGTGCGGCAATCACAGCTTGTCTGTATTTATGATAATTAGCAGTTTTTGTTCAGTTATTGTATATTATTTGAAAAGGTGTAATAATTTATACATATAATATTACGTGTAAATAACATATTGTATATGTTGAATGTTAGAATTGCATTGTTGTGAAATCCATTATAGTTGTGTGACCGTTTCTCGTTTTAGCTTTAGGCCTGTTTAAATGACATGACGTCTACAAAAGTATCAGTTTTAAGACCCCAGTTTAAGATCTTTGTGTATTGTAAATTTTCTTTTTCAAAAATGATAAATGAGCCGCGTCACGACAAAGCCAACATAATGGGTTTGCGACCAGCATGGATCCAGATCAGCCTGCGCATCCGCACAGTATGATCAGGATCCATGCAGTTCGCCATCAGTTTCTCTACTTGTAATAGAGTTGGTAAGCAAACAGCATGGATCCTGATCAGACTGCGCGGATGCGCAAGCTGGTCTGGATCCATGCTGTTTGCAAACCCATTATGTTGGTTTTGTCACGACGCGGCTCAAATGATGTATTATGCTTACCATCCTGGAAAAAGACAGTGAAATATCTGCAGAGGAATACCTTCCTGCAGTAAGTCTCAGTTGATGTTCAAACTACAAAACCGATCTATTTTAGAAACTTTTACAAGTCTTTTTTCTTACGACAGTGATTCAATATTCTTTTTGTACAATTAGGTTATTGGAGGGGTACTGGTGTATATAAGAAAGTGGCCATCGAGGAGAACAAATCTGACCAAGATGATATTACCCAGCAGGATGCCAACCCTGAAAAAGATGCAGACGGCGATATAAAAGAAAAGTTAATATCCAACGAGGAATCAACTGAAGACGACAAAAAAGAAGATATAGAAAAAATTCTAAATGATCTAAATGACTTAGTCGATCAAGAGACTGATTTCTTACAAGTACTTAGGGACAGTAGTGAAAACTCTACAGAAAGGGTCGAGTCCTTTAAAAATACAACCATAGATCGTCTGAAAAAAGTATCGTGGGAAACAACAGAAGCGGAGAATACGATAAATGAAGACAAGGCTACTAGACTTCATTGTATGTCTTTGAATAGTGAAGACGCTAGACCAAATAATTTAGACCTTAATTTGAACGAAAAAATTTCCGAAGTTAAGAACTTTTTACCGGCCGACACTAGTAGTGAGGACGAATCACCGTTAGCAACTGACGTAATGCATTCTGGGAAAACTGGTGCATCATGGGACATTGATATCACAGGTGGTCAAACTGGATCGAGTAAACCGAGTAAAAGAATGCTAGCTTTGAAACAGGCGAGAACGCAGAGGGCGGGAGAGAGATATGTTCCTCCAAAGGTTATGGTTTCAGCCAATCAGATTGCACAAAGAAAAGTGCTTGACTTAAAACGATGGTAGGTTGTTTTTTTCCTTACTTTCTCCAATATTTGGAAGGTGATACCTATAATACATGTAGTTATAGGAATACTTGAATATAAAAACATCAGGTAAAAATAATATTAGCTATACTTTATGTCTGGAAAAATGAGTTTTTCTGATTTATTTTGAATCCCCCTTATAGGTTGGATTACTTGGCATGAATTTAACTCATAAGATAGGGAAAAACAGAGTGAAAAAGTGAGTTTTATAATGCATTACATTGTTTTAAGTCTAACAGTGTTTTGTTCATATTAATTTGTTAGGCCGTCTGTCTTTCCTTCCATCTGAATGACATCAATGAGAAAGAACAGTTACCTGTTGTTCATCTAGCCACAAGTGATCACAAGTAGAGATTTTGATGCTAAAGCATCAAGTCGCTGGATAGAAAAATGATTGTATTATCATAAATATAAGAAAATATAAGTTTAATGGTTCAAGTATAAAAATAAGAGGAACAATGAGTTGAGTAATGTTTGCCACTGAGGCTTGTAAGGCATGTGCTATGCTGGTAATTCTTTTTGTAATTATACTTTATACATATACTGTTGTACCATACCTTGAAATCCGTATAGGTTACTAGTTCAGATTCAGATAATTACCGACAAAAATTACCGATCATCGAATTTTTGCAAAGTGACTATGAAAATATATATGTTTAATTATTACATGAAACAATACAATCTTACTGTCAAAGTGTTGTACATCATTATTATGTGCTATAGAAAAAATATATAATTTAGCTGAAATCAATACACGTATTCCAATCGTTACATACGAATTATAAAATTAACGTTTAATTGCCTTTCAGTGCGATAAACTATCAACACAAAGATAGTTTATTATTTTTTTCTATGTATCTAATACGATTCCGGACCCCTGACGTCGTACCGTTTTGGAAACCTGCGTGACGGAAATGGATTACCATGATATATTTCAATAATGTGCCTCTTAAGCATAACATTATTTTGGGATGTTCAACCTAAACTAAACAATTGAACTTTCTTGTCGAATGTTTGACAGAAAGGGCCAAGTTAAACCCTTTACCAAGAAGAAAGGAAATGGTTTTGAAAATGTATTTTTAATGTAAACAGGTTTCTCTAATGATATAAAGTATGAACCTGATTAATGAAAAATAACTTATGTACTTATCTGTACAAAATCACAATGATTTACATCTTATCAGTTACCACCATTAACAAGTTACCTGTCTAATCAGCAATCTGTTACTATTAATAGATTTTATAACGATATACAACATATATAAACATGTAGTCACGTGATTCTTACGAAAGACCAGGGAGCATTTGATTATAATTAGATAAAATAATGTAATATTAAAGGTCTCATAAAAAATAAACAACCAAATAATTTTAAAGTGTCATTTCAAATATCATTCATGATTTATATATTATAAAATACCAATGCTTGACACACAGAAAAAAGTAAAAGCATCTCTAATATTCAATGACTGATCCTTGGGGATACGTTATTGATTCATTTTATAAAAAATGTAATGTTGCTTTTTTAGACGTCAATATGTGCATATTTCATTCCAATGAGCAAAGTTATCATATGTTTGATTTTTTGTGATTACTGAAAAATAATTGTTGTCTTTAATTGTTCAATGATTGATATGCTTTTATTTTCAGATTTTAAGGGCTTCTCCTACCATAGGTATAATATTAAACTATTACAAATATAGTCGCCGGTTTCTACCGGCGACTAATAATGTTTCTATATATAGAGACAGTGTACTTACATAGGTATAGACAGTGTACTAAAGTACATATAGGTACCAGATTGGAGCACCTATGGAGGAATCCCATGTAGTACTGTATAAAATAAATGAAAATGTCAAGGATAATTTGATGAATTAAATTTTAATTGTTTGTATTATAAGGTAATAAATTACTAAGTATTCACACATGAAATAAAGTTTTAGTTTAGGGTATTACCATCCTAATGCATTACCTCCGCTTGAAAGAGTATTCAAATAGGCTAGAACTACTGAACATTAACTACATTGAAAATGAAGGTCATGGGGTTCAATCCCCAGAAGGGTCAACTTTTTTTTTCTTTCTTTTTTTCTTTTAACATTATTTATGTATCTCTCATGTCCCATTTGGAAAGAAAAAAGTGTTTATTTTTAGCTCGACTATTCGCAGAATAATCGAGCTAATGCAGTCACCCATTTGTCGGCGTCGGCGTCGGCGTCCCTGTGGTTAAGTTTTTGTATGTAAGCTGGTATCTCCATAACTACTGAAGGGAATGGATTGAAACTTCACACACTTGTTCTCTGTGATTATCTAAGATGATTGGCACAAGTCCCATAACTCTGATTTGCTTTTTTACATAATTATGCCCCTTTTCGACTTAGAAATTTGTGGTTAAGTTTTTGTATGTAAGCTGGTATCTCCATAACTACTGAAGGGAATGGATTGAAACTTCACACACTTGTTCTCTGTGATTATCTTAGATGATTGGTACAAGTCCCATAACTCTGGTTTGCTTTTTTACATAATTATGTCCCTTTTTCGACTTAGAAATTCTTGGTTAAGTTTTTGCGTGTAAGCTGGTATGTCCATATTAACTACTGATGGGAATGGATTGAAACTTCACACACTTGTTCTCTGTGATTATCTAAGATGATTGGTACAAGTCCCATAACTCTGATTTGCTTTTTTACATAATTATGCCCCTTTTTCGACTTAGAAATTCTTGGTTAAGTTTTTGCGTGTAAGCTGGTATCTCCATAACTACTGAAGGGAATGGATTGAAACTTCACACACTTGTTCTCTGTGATTATCTAAGATGATTGGCACAAGTCCCATAACTCTGATTTGCTTTTTTACATAATAATGCCCCTTTTTCGACTTAGAAATTCTTGGTTAAGTTTTTGCGTGTAAGCTGGTATCTCCGTAACTACTGATGGGAATGGATTGAAACTTCACACACTTGTTCTCTGTGATTATCTAAGATGATTGGTACAAGTCCCATAACTCTGATTTGCTTTTTTACATAATTATGCCCCTTTTTCGACTTAGAAATTCTTGGTTAAGTTTTTGCGTGTAAGCTGGTATCTCCATAACTACTGAAGGGAATGGATTGAAACTTCACACACTTGTTCTCTGTGATTATCTAAGATGATTGGCACAAGTCCCATAACTCTGATTTGCTTTTTTACATAATAATGCCCCTTTTTCGACTTAGAAATTCTTGGTTAAGTTTTTGCGTGTAAGCTGGTATCTCCATAACTACTGAAGGGAATGGATTGAAACTTCACACGCTTGTTCTCTGTGATTATCAAAGATGATTGGCACAAGTCCCATAACTCTGATTTGCTTTTTTACATAATAATGCCCCTTTTTCGACTTAGAAATTCTTGGTTAAGTTTTTGCGTGTAAGCTGGTATCTCCATAACTACTGAAGGGAATGGATTGAAACTTCACACACTTGTTTTCTGTGATTATCTTAGATGATTGGCACAAGTCCCATAACTCTGATTTGCTTTTTTACATAATAATGTCCCTTTTTCGACTTAGAAATTCTTGGTTAAGTTTTTGCGTGTAAGCTGGTATCTCCATAACTACTGAAGGGAATGGATTGAAACTTCACACACTTGTTCTCTGTGATTATCTAAGATGATTGACACAAGTCCCATCAGTCTGATTTGCTTTTTAACATAATTATGCCCTTTTTGGACTTAGAAATTCTTGGTTAATTTTTTGCGTGTAAGCTGGTATCTCCATAACTACTGAAGGGAATGGATTGAAACTTAACACTCTTGTTGTCTGTGATTATCTAAGATGATTGGCACAAGTCCCATAACTCGGATTTTCTTTTTCGCATAATAATGCCCCTTTTTCGATTCATAAATTCTTGGTTAAGTTTTTGTGTGTAAGCTTGTATCTCCATAACTACTGAAGGGAATGTATTGAAACTTGAAGGGTTTGTACCTTTTCGGACAATTTTATGTATTCATATAGGTAAGCATTATTATAATCAATGAAACACCCTTGTGACAAATTTTCGAATAGTCGAGCGTTACTGTCCTCCGACAGTTCTTGTTGATTTTTTAATTTACATAGGTATTTATTTATTGGCTAAATTATGCTAAATCTAGTAATAAATATGGTACCTGATACTTTCAAAGTGTAATAAAATCAAAACTAGACTGTAAAAGTATTTCATATTTTACAAGATTAAACAATATACTTCTTTAAAAATTTAGGGAAACGTTGAAAAGAGGCACTCTTTTGGGTAAATTTTAAGGATTTTTTAAATTAGGCTCCCTTAGTAGGAAAATCAGGTCAGACACATGGTAAAACTGGGTGGGGTAGGGTAACATTTTTATACAGATTTCATAATTTGTGCTTATGTGGATTGTGAGCTGAATGGTACTGTTTGTTTCTTACCAAAAATTAATGGGAAAACATTTTTCATTAGAATGTTATTGTAGATTATTTACAAGTTCCTCATTTCTAAAAAAGGGCCCTCATAACATCCTAGCTTGAGTTCAGAAAAGTGGCCATAACTTGATTTCCGTATGGTAAACTTTGTTTGAATTTTGCATACAGGTGTACTTTAAGGTATATATCTGACCTATGATGTCAATTTTTTAGTTCCTTATAGTGTCCATTAGGGATGAAATACCTTAAAATGATTTATTTTTATTGTATTACCAGGTATTGTATGAGTCGACCGCAGTACAAGACTTCATGTGGAATATCATCACTGGTCTCATGCTGGAATTATCTGTTCAGTACACTAGGACATGGCAAGTATGAAGCTTTAATAATCAATATATTTTTCATGCCATTGCAGCATCTGTTATGACCCCCATAATTCGGTGTAGACACTATTGCATTATGACAAAGTTCAATTGTATGGAAACAAAAAAGAATCTTCTTTCTTCTGTTCGTACTATTTAGTGTTGCATATATGCGGTGGCATATCATTTTTTCACAAATGCGATCTTGTTTCTTGTCGGGTTTTTATTTGATCGTAATCCACTTTAATGCAAGAAACAGCTTGGATATTTGAGGTATTCATTATTATTGCACTCACTGACATTAATACCTTGGAAACTTGGTTCTGATACTGGTATATTTCAATTATTATAAAACTAACGCTCACAAATATATACCTATCCAATTTATTAAGTACCATCATTTATGTGCCCACAAGATATCCTAATACCAGACCCTTACACCAGTGCCTGTCACAGAACCTAATTGTGCCCACAAGACAGGTTATTTCAGTCCATTATACCGGTCCCATTCAATGTACTATCTATAATTTTTATGTGCCCACAAGACTGGTAAAGCAGTCCTGTATATCAGTCCCTGTCACAGACAGATATACCCCTCCTTTCCCTCTCACAGCTCATCTATGTGCCCACAAGACTGGTAAAGCAGTCCTGTATACTAGTCCCTGTCACAGACGGATATACCCTTCCTTTCCCTCTCACAGCTCATCTATGTGCCCACAAGACTGGTAAAGCAGTCCTGTATACTAGTCCCTGTCACAGACGGATATACCCTTCCTTTCCCTCTCACAGCTCATCTATGTGCCCACAAGACTGGTAAAGCAGTCCTGTATACTAGTCCCTGTCACAGACGGATATACCCCTCTTTCCCTCTCACAGCTCATCTATGTGCCCACAAGACTGGTAAAGCAGTCCTGTATACTAGTCCCTGTCACAGACGGATATACCCTTCCTTTCCCTCTCACAGCTCATCTATGTGCCCACAAGACTGGTAAAGCAGTCCTGTATACTAGTCCCTGTCACAGACGGATATACCCTTCCTTTCCCTCTCACAGCTCATCTATGTGCCCACAAGACTGGTAAAGCAGTCCTGTATACTAGTCCCTGTCACAGACGGATATACCCTTCCTTTCCCTCTCAAAGCTTATCTATGTGCCCACAAGACTGGTAAAGCAGTCCTGTATACTAGTCCCTGTCACAGACAGATATACCCTTCCTTTCCCTCTCACAGCTCATCTATGTGCCCACAAGATGGGTAAACCAGACTTTATTTTACTTCTTTGTTTGTTTTCGTCACAATAAACAACTAAATTTAACACATAGATTTAAAGAAGTAGTATTACTAATTAAGAGGAAAACAAACATTCTTTGTACAGTTTGGTTAATGAAGCTCTTATAATATACATAGTTAAAAGATCTGATCACAGCTTGGCTTGGACCTGCAGTGTCTGTCCCTTAGTTGAAAGATAGACAGTTTTATACACAGCTGCTGTCAAATAATGAATTGATGAAGTAAGTTGCTTCTGTAATGATTTAAGGAAGTTTACTGTATTATAAATTAGTGTTTTATTTTTTTAAAAGGTTATATGTCCATATTCGTATAAATGGTTGTTTGCACTATATCCCTACATACAATGTACATGTATGCAAACAACAGATTATATAGAGTCATATTACCTTTCAAAAAACTTTATAACTTCATGTGAAAATCTACACTGTTATTACAATTGTATTGTCGTTGCCTATCATTATACTATTCTAATATTTTCAGCTTACACCCCATTACCCAGGAAGAGGCTTTGACAACATTGACCTTCAAGCCACCATTTAGTGACATACGCTTCGGTCCATTCACTGGAAACTCTACATTAATGAGGTATATTTAGCAGCATGCAAACAGCTACCTGCACTTTTACATGTATAAGGATTAAGATTTTTTATGCCACCGCAATCTGCAATGCGGTGGCATATAGCGATTCACCTGTGTGTGTGTTAGTGTGTGTGTGTGTGTGTTATATAGATAATATAGTGAACTTAAAAAATCTTCTTGTGAAAAACTACTAGTCCAATTTCAACTAAACTGGGCAGGATTGTTCCTTGGGTGAAGGGCTTCCACAGTTGTTCAAAGAATTTCATTCCATGCAGAAATCTGGTTGCCATGGCAGCCAAAAGAAATTATAAGAATAAATTTAAAAAATCTTCTTGTAAAGACCCAAAAGGCCTAGAGCTTAGATATTTTGCATAAGGCATTGTCTGGAAGACCTCTAACAAGATTGTTCAAATTATAGCCCTGGGGTCAAAATTGGCCCCGCCCCGGGGGTCATTGATTTTAACTATGTACATATAGTAAAAACCTTAAATACCTTCTTGTAATAACCCAAAAGGCCTAGAGCTTAGATATTTTGCATAAGGCATCATCTGGAAGACCCTTACCAAGATTTTTCAAATTATAGGCCTTGGGTCAAAATCGGCCCGGCCCCGGGGTCATTGATTTTTGCTATATGTACATATAGTAAAAACTTAAAACACCTTGTAAAGACCCAAAAGGTCTAGAGCTTACATATTTTGCATAAGGCATTGTCTGGTAGACCTCTACCCAGATTGTTCAAATTATAGCCCTGGGGTGAAAATCGGCCCCGCCCCAGGGGTCATTGGTTTTCCTTATATGTATATAGTAAAAGCTTGGGTCAAAATTATGCCTTGCCCAGGGAGACAGTGACCTACTTTCTTGTCCTTTGATGTACAGCAATGAAATTTTGACCATGTGCACAGTTTTAGTTGTAAAATTGAACTTTGATCTAGATTTTGATGATGTGACCTACTTTCTTGTCCTTTGATGCACAGCTATGAAATTTGAACCATGCGGTGGCATAGCATTTTCTCAAATGCAATCTTGTTTCATATAGCCTTCCATATTACACAATAGGAAATTTATGTATAATGGGGCAGGGTACCGCCAGGAAAGCTATATTCGTATTTTTATGCTGTACAATTCAGGTAGTAACAAAGGCCATAGAAATTACAGCTATTTGTCAGCAGCACTAATGTAATGACATTTTATACTGTGAAGGGAGAAATAATGATTCTCCTGGTTTTTATTTTTAGCTCACCTGTCACAAAGTGACAGGGTGAGCTTTTGTGATCGCTTTTCGTCCGGCGTCCGTCTGGCGTCCGTCCATAAACTTTTGCTTCAAACGACATCTCCTCATAAACCACTAAGCCAATTTCATCCAAACTTCACAGGAATGTTCCTTTGGTTGTCACCTTTAAAAATTGTTGAAAGAATTTTATTTCATGCAGAACTCTGGTTGCCATGGCAACCGAAAGAAAAAACTTTTAATATCTTCTTTTAAAAAACCCAAAGTGCTAGAGCTTAGATATTTGGCATGAAACATTTTCTAGTAAGTGTCTACCAAGTTTGTTCAAATAAAAGCCCTAGGGTCAAAATTGGCCCAGCCCCAGGGGGTCATTGACTTTCCCTTTATACATACATGCCATAATTTTTGGACAGCTTTCCGGGACACTTTTCATCGCGGCAATAATGGATGTGTAGGCAGTTGTGGAAAAGTGGGGGGGGGGTGTCAATCGTATAACGTTATTAAATTAGGACGACTTTCTCCTGAATTTTAATGATAAACAGTTAACTTACTAGTTTTATAAGTTGTCTTTTAGGTCGACATATTTATCATTTTAAAAGTATTTCTTTATTTAATTTATTATTCCCTAAAAGCAAGTAAGTTGTAAGTTATAAACCCGGTGAATTGGCGCGGCCATGTTGTTCACCCGTTATATCTTAAAGTCATGATAATTACTACATGTCACGTAATGCAATTCTTCCAGTCATAAAAACAAACACAGCAAGGTGATTTATTTGACACCTTTAATTTTTTTATTTGATAGATATATTTACATTGTTTGTAATAATTAGACTTTCGGCAATTTAGCGATTGATCTAAAAATTAATGATTATCGGGGATTAACGATAATTGTTAAGGGCCGTAAACAATTAATTAACCCGACCATTAAACGCTGCCGAATTCAACAGAGAATGTTAATTGCCGATGCATGAAGAATCTATTGCCGAGGGGAATCGACAGTCGATAATTGGGGGGCTGTATATTGTAAACTTGTAAGTGTCAACGTTCCTGTGTATTATGTGTACCAAGTCAGATTATGTTTTACGATCTAGAGGTGAAATGTGCGAGATTTGATTTAAGAAAATTTATGAAAATTTTGCAAATTATCATGATTTTTTTTCCGGGATCAAATCGATGCCCGGGACATCTCCGGGACAGACATCCGATTTCCGGGACAATCCCGGGCATCCGGGACGTTATGGCATGTATGCCTTTATACATATAGTAAAAACTTAAAAATTCTTCTTTTAAAGAACCCATAGAGCTAGAGCTAAGATATTTAGCATGAAACATCATCTAGTAAGTGTCTACAAAGTTTGTTCAATTAAAAGCCTTGGGGTCAAAATTGGCCCCACCTCAGGGGGTCATTGATTTTCCCTATATGCATATACATGTAGTAAAAACTTAAAAAAATCTTCTTTTAAAGAACCCATAGAGCTAGAGCTAAGATATCTAACATGAAACATCTTCTAATAAGTGTCTACCAAGTTTGTTCAAATAAAACCTTGGGTCAAAAATTAGCCCCGCCCCAGGGGGTCATTGATTTTCCCTATATGCATACAGTAAAAACTTAAAAAATCTTCTTTTAAAGAACCCAAAGAGCAAGAGCTAAGATATTTAGCATGAAACATGTTCTAATAGGTGTCTACAAAGTTTGTTCAAATAAAAGCCCTTGGGTCAAAATTGGCTCCGCCCCAAGGGGGGGGGTCATTGATTTTCCCTATATGCATATAGTAAAAACTTAAAAGAATCTTCTTTTAAAGAACCTGTAGAGCTAGAGCTAAGATATCTAACATGAAACATCTTCTAATAAGTGTCTACCAAGTTTGTTCAAATAAAACCTTGGTCAAAATTAGCCCCGCCCCAGGGGGTCATTGATTTTCCCAATATGCATATTGTAAAAACTTAAAAAATCTTCTTTTAAAGAACCCAAAGAGCAAGAGCTAAGATATTTAGCATGAAACATGTTCTAATGGGTGTCTAAAAAGTTTGTTCAAATAAAAGCCCTTGGGTCAAAATTGGCCCCGCCCCAAGGGGTCATTGATTTTCCCTATATGCATATAGTAAAAACTTAAAAAATCTTCTTTTAAAGAACCAGAGAGCTAGAGCTAAGATATTTAGCATTAAACATGTGCTAATGGGTGTCTACAAAGTTTGTTCAAGTAAAAGCCCTGGGTTCAAAATTGGCCCGGCCTCAGGGGGTCATTGATTTTCCTTATATGTGTATAGCAAAAACTTAAAAAATCTTCTTTGAAAAATCCAAATAGCTACAGTTTAGATATTAAGCATGAAACATCTTCTAGTGAGTGTCTACAAAGTTTGTTCAAATAAAAGCCCTGGGGTCAAAATTGGCCCCACCCTGGGTGTCTTTGATTTTCCTTATATGTGTATGGCAAAAACTTAAAAATCTTCTTTGAAAAAACCCAAATAGCTAGAGTTAAGATATTAAGCATGAAACATCTTCTAGTAAATGTCTACAAAGTTTGTTTAAATAACAGCCCTGGGGCTAAAACTGGCCCTGCCCCAGAGGTGTCATTGTTTTTAACTATATGTGTATAGTAAAAACTTAAAAAATCTTCTTTTAAAAATCCCAATGAGCTAGAGGTTAGATTGCAGGAAACATCTTTTTGTGGGTGTCTACCAAGTTTGTTCAAATAAAAGCCCTTGGGAGGTCATTGTTTTTCTTTATATGTGTGTAGTAAAAACTTAACATCATGAAACATCTTCTAATGAGTGTCTTCCAAGTTTGTTCAAATAAAAGCCCTGGGGAATAAAAGCCCTGGGGTTTAAACTAGCCCCGCTCCGGGGGCCTAAATACAGGTGAGCGACCTCAGGGCCCTCTTGTTTTACTATATTCATTTTCTTTATGATTCAGCAAATGCAAAAAAATTTATATTCCTATTTGTGGAGCAAATCAAAAGTAGATGTAGTAATTGTTTACATCTGACTACAATAAAGTAAGAAAGTTTACTGTTTTGTACTTTATTTTTTAAGTTCTAAACTTGATTAATTTTGCAGTATAAATGTTGTAATGAAAATTAATGTAAAGAGTCAAGTACAAGAAAAATATATATATGTTAAGAAATTTTATGGTTTCATTTTAAACATTCCCTCAGTATAATCTTCGACATATACATCAATTAAGCTACGAGACACACAGTCTCTCATAAACACATTTATAACAAAAGAATGCTGGTGTAATAATAATTTCTATCGTATAAACACCTAAAGCAATAATATTAAAACAGTCGCATTTGTACAATTATCGTTTATTCCACATAACACAGTTTACTAATTATTTCTTTTCAATAAGTCCAGCTAAAGCAAATAACTTCTTGATGCTATTGGTTTGTTTTGACAGTTTGTGTAACACTACTAACAATCTATGTGCGTAACGTTCTTTTATTACAGAAAGGCGTTCATTAAAAAATGACTACATGTAGATACATTATGTGTAATTTGCAATTTTTTGTTATTCAGAACATGATAATTCAGTATCAAGTTTTTCAGACAAGCATATGGATGATTTACTTTGAGTTATATTTGCGTTTTTTAAGAAATGCAAAAAATTCACGAACCTGTGAATACTTAGTTCCTTGTGGTGAAAATGCGAATTAAAAAACCAGCATATTTATTAAGCTCTATACAGTAATATGAATAAAATTAATTAGAGCAATAGAATCAGAGAAATAAAACTCTTACTGATTACAAAAGTACTTTTACGAGTTCAAATGTAAAAAAAAATGAAAACAAAATTTGTTTCCTCTTAAATTAGCATGATTAGATGTGGGCATAATGTTCAATGCACGTTAAGGTCAGAATATGACCAGAGCAAAATATCGGCTGTCATGTGTCTAGTTTATATGCTGTCAGCCTGCGGCTTTCACTCCATTGATGCCCCTCATACATTACCAGTACTGGGATGAGGGGACACTATCCTCCAAAGGTCAGACAGATGTATTTTTGTTTAATCATGACATTTATTACTACATCATCTTCTCTCTAGGTGGTAAATGTTTAATTGGCACATTAACAGTATTTATCACATACCTGCGCCACTTTTGCTCCTCCATAAATTATGGCATTGCACGGCTATGCATAATATTTTGACATGATGTCATTTGCATTATACAAACATCGCGTTAAGACGCCCTAAATGTTTAGCGTTATACAGTAGGCGCTTCAATGAAAAATGGTTCTTTTTCACTTCAAACGGTCTTTAGTTCTGGTATGTGATAAATAGATTATTAAATTTATGTAAGTTCATTACTGAGTTTATTGAACTTGTTGAATAAAATAATATTATGCGAGCTTCAGTTTAGCATAATATAATTTTATTCAACTCTAAGTTCGTTAAATTCAATATTAAGCTTACACTCATTCAATATCCTCTATTTTCTAAAAGTGATGATTGTCTACTCCATATATTTCAGATGGTTCAGAATTCTTAATGACCACTTTAAAGTGAGGGGCCGCTGTTACTATGTGTACAAGCCACATGGGAAGAACAAAACTGTCGGGGTGACGGCAGAGGACGCCCTGGCAACCGTCAAGAAAGGTCTGAATGATCCAAACATGACCTACATATATCACTGCCAAAATCATTATTTCTGTCCTATAGGATTTGAAGATGTCCCACAATCCCCTACTCAAGCTTACAGGTAAGTTGATAGGTACCATGTAAATGTTCACTCATTACCTCAGTTTGTTTCTTCTTTAAATACCGTAAAAGATTTGTTTTCAAATCTCAAATTTTATGTTTTTAGTTCCTTCAAAATCTTCCGATCTGCATTTTCTGATTTACCTTATTCAGCTTGCATTTGAAAAAAAACCCGATGGTATTATAAAGGATTTCAGAAATAAATTGATTTACATATATCATTGTTATTTTACAATATGGCTAAATTTTAGTGATACCTTAGACAAAATATTTTACTGATTTAATACTAACATAGGATCATTTGTTGAAAACTATCAATTTTTTTCACACACTCTTTCATTCTTTTCAAGCAGGTTTTCATACAAATTTAAGCACCTTTTAAGAGGGTAACCAAATAAAAGGACTTTAAAGGACAGTTTTAAGCCTTTTGAAAGAAAGGCACTAAATCTTAAGAAAGGGACTCATATTAAAGCACTTTTTAAAAAAGGGACTCAAATTGAAGCACTTATTAAGAAAGGGACTCAAATTGAAGCACTTATTAAGAAAGGGACTCAAATTGAAGCACTTTTTAAAAAAGGGACTCAAATTGAAGCACTTATTAAGACTGTACGTAGCCTGGGATATGTTAAAAATCTGCCTCAAACAAATGAAGCTTTAATTTATATTAATCCTGATTTGGTAAAGCCTCGTATTGCTGTAATTGTGGTAAAGAAATCAATGACATATTTCTTTTGTAACATCTGTTACATTTCTAGAAATCCAGGCATCTCAGACTGTATTGTCTACAGTGTTTGTCAATAACATGTTTTGCATGAGTTAAAATGCAATGGAAGTTTCATTCTTTGATTTTTTTGTTCAAGTGAGTAATGAGGTATGTCGGCGGCGCGGGCGGGCGGGCGTTAACAATTTCTTCTGTGCGCAACTCCTCCTACATTTCTCAACGGATTTTGACCAAACTTTCACAGAAGCTTTGTCATCAAGTGCCCTGGCGCATATCGTCGGGGTTTTGCCATTGGATAATATTTGACCTAATTATGGCCCTTTGTTGTTTTTTCTTATTTAGAATATATAGTGAACAATTTCTTCTGTGCGCAACTCCTCCATCATTTCTCAACGGATTTTGACCAAACTTTCACAGAAGCTTTGTCATCAAATGCCCTGGCACATATTTTGGGGTTTTGCGATTGGATAATATTTGACCTAATTATGGCCCTTTGTTGTTTTTTCTTATATAGAATATATAGTGAACAATTTCTTCTGTGCGCAACTCCTATATTTTTCTACGGATTTTGACCAAACATTTACAGAAGCTTTGTCATCAAGTGCCCTGGCAACATATTGTACGTGTTTTGCCATTGGATAATATTTGACCTAATTATGGCCCTTTGTTTTTTTCCTTATATAGAATATATAGTGAACAATTTCTTCTGTGCGCAACTCCTCCTACATTCCTCAACGGATTTTGACCAAACTTTTACAGAAGCTTTGTCATCAAGTGCCATGGCACTTATTGTCCGGGTTTTGCCATTGGATAATATTTGACCTAATTATGGCCCTTTTGTTTTTTTCCTTATATAGAATATATACTGAACAAATTCTTCTGTGCGCAACTCCTCCTACATTTCTCTACGGATTTTGACCAAACTTTCACAGAAGCTTTTTTATCAAGTGCCCTGGCACATATTGTTGGGGTTTTGTGATTGGATAATATTTGATGTAATTATGGCCCTTTGTTTTTTTCCTTATACAGAATATATAGTGAACAAATTCTTCTGTGCTGAACTTGTCCTACATTTCTCAACAGATTTTGTTCAAACTTTCACAGAAGCTTTGTTATCAAGTGCCCTGGCACATATTGTCAGGGTTTTGTGATTGGATAATATTTGACCTAATTATGCCCCTTTGTTTTTTTTCCTTATACAGAATTATCAATATATAGTGAACAAATTCTTCTGTGCTGAACTAGTCCTACATTTCTCAACAGATTTTGTTCAAACTTTCACAGAAGCTTTGTCATCATGTGCCCTGGCGCATATTCTTGAGGTTTTGTGATTGGATAATTTTTGACCTAATTATGGCCCTTTGTTTTTTTTCCTTATACAGAATACATTTTTTCCTTATACAGAATATACAGTGAACACTTCTTCTGTGGCAATTCCTCCTACATTATTCATGTTTTACATTGCACATAGTTACATTGTTTATTGCTTGCATTTGTATTACAAATACAACATATTTATCTACAATGGAGATAATTGAAAACCTGGTTTCGTGGCATTGCCATGTTTCTTGTTAACTGTTTATAACCGGAATTTAGTACATAGCGATAAAGGATTATAAGGTGATTGTAAATAATCAAATGCTCAAGATTTTAAAAAATAATGTTCTGGAATTTACATTATCTTTAGGACAAGTAAAAATATGTTTCAAATAAAATGGACAGGTGTGTCAAAATCAGATTTTGCCATATTTGCATGATTGGGTGCCCAACCATGCATTATTTCAGGCATGAACAGGCATTTGAGTAGAACCACTGACTTCCTATAAGCTAGCTTATCAACTGGATGAATCCATAGTCCCTGGCAGGATTTGAACCAGCACATTGAAGTGGTTTGAAGACAGTGACCTAAACAGTCGACCACAGATGCCCCACTGAATACTATAAAATATTTATATTAACAAAATGAAATGTTTATCTTGTTTCAGTGGGCCTGAGGATAATGCGGATACTTGGATACTAATTGGTGACCCTAGTCGTAAACATCCTAGTGTACATTGTAAACGGTAAGCTTTTATAATGAGTTTTTTGTGTGGTTTTAGCTCTTCACCAACAGATCAGGCAAAAAAAGATTAAGTATCCTTGGCTACCAGTATAGTCTCAGCCTGAGGCCAGTTTATCTATCCATTCTGTCTTACCAGTCTTAAATATTGTTCTTTAAGTTTTGTTTTTTCTATTTTTGTATAGAAATCCCTATAGAAATTGGAATGGACTATTCCAAAGTCTAAATATGGCAAATCCATACCAGAAGGTCAGAAGTTTTAATGGCTTAAAGCTGATGAAGTTTTAGGCGGCAATTCTGCTTTTTTTTTTTGCCTGCTTGATTTATCTAAAGTAATATTAATAGGGAGTTGATGGCTTTAAACACAATGGAGCAGAGCTTATCATTTGAACGCAAAAGTTTGGTTAATGTTCAAGATTATATAAGTTTACGCTGCATTACACATATAGGAAGACGTGAGAGACACTTTCCTTGTTTATTATTCCTCACAAACAGACTCAAATCAAAACTGTACTAATTCATGTGTTTTATTTTCATTGATCTAAAGGTATATTCAAGTACATGTATAGGAATAGGAATTTCAGAAAAAAAGGTGATTTGAAAAAAAATAAATTCAAATACATGTATGTAAAACTAGGATGCCTTTTGTTTTTCTAGATGGGAAGATATTGTTACAGACTTAAACTGCCAAAGTCCAGAATATTTAGACGTCCGTAGGCTTGATAAAGGCGTGCAAAAGAGAAATACTAAAAAGGTAAAAAGAGTATCAAAAGTTGATAACTTGTATTAAAACACTTGCCCCATTGTTTCTTGAATTTTTTAAATAGACAAAAAAGTAAAAATTAAATTAGTGAACAGAATTTTCTTAAACATTGCATGATTAAATAGACGCAATTATTTTGTGAACTTAGGAAATTCTTAGGAAATTCTTGGTTAAAACATCAATAAAACCAGTGGAAGTACTCTTTTAAACTTGAAACCTGCCTTTATTCACTTGAAACATAATAAATTGCCTTCATGATCATTATCAGTGGTCAAACGACATGCCCCTCACCTCTGTGGGTTTGAATCCCAACAGGGACTTTGGATTTTTTCATATGTGATGAAGCTAGCCAGCTAGCTTACGGAACGTCAATGGTTCTACCTGGTTCTACTTCTTCCACCAGTAAAGCTGGAACGTTGTCATATGACTTATATTGTGTCTGTGCCATGTTAAACCCAATCAAACACTAAAGGAGGTCACTTTCAATGGCTTATAACACTAGATTTTGACTGATTTGTGGCAACTTGTGGATTTAGAACATTTCTGGATGAAGTTTTGGGTGCAGCATCAATCTTTAAAACTATTAATGCTGTTAACATGAAACAAGTTCATATCTTCAGGATTATGATAATTGAAGGTCATTTTTCTGTCTCTTATGGTGGCTTTTGACTGACCTTAATAATAGCCATTTGTGAGCTTACAAACTAGTATTGTAATTATGTAATGAATTTTGAATGAGATCTTCCTCTTAGTTATTCCTACATGTTATTTTCAATACTGAGAAAAGTCATGTACACTATCCTACTGACAGCTCTTGTTTTACAACAAACTTTCTTTGACCATATAACTGTATGTTTATCCTAGGACAAACTTAATTTAAATGCAAAATTGTAATATTATTATCTTTATTATAAAACATAAGTTGTAAAGTTTATAATTATAGTGATTTTCCAGTTTTATGGTTGGAGAGAGACTACACATGATTGTTTGTTTGTTTGATTGATTGGGTTTTACGTCACACAGACACAGTATAGGTCATTTGGCGACATTCTAGCTTTACTAGTGGTGGAAGACCCACAGCAGTTAGGGGGAATTCACACGTCTTCCTTCATTAGACGAGTTCGGAGTTGAATCACAGACTTTCCATTCTAGCTAAATGGATATCTGAATTAAATCCCGACTTTATAGAAATAAGAATATCCTTTTCTGGCATCTTCTCCAGAGCGGTGATGAGCAGGTTTTTCAGAATCAATAACCTTAACTATTTGATAGTTTAAGAAGCATAATTATTATGTAATTCAGATAATATTCAATGAATAAAGATTCATATAAAATTTATTTATTTTATATTGATGTTAGACAGGAGGAAATTTACACTGTATCATGGCTTATCAGAGAAGTCCTTTCATGAGTCAACGGAGAACTAATATTCCAGTGTTGTCCAACAGAACGCTGAGTCCTGCAGGGAGGTGCGGGCATGAATCACGCAGCCACAGTCCAGGAAGGATCCACAATCATGTCAGGGTAGATAGAACCGTAAGTCCGGTGAGGAAGACACCGACAAGTCCGGTTGAGGAGAGAGATAATCATAGGCATCCCGAGATTGAGGCCAGGTATATACATTATACTAATTATTATGATAGTGGCACCATGGCCGTGCGGTTAATGCATCAGATTAGTGATCTAATGATCGCTAGCCGCATGGGTTCAAACCCTGTCAGGGGGCTAGTTGTTGTTTCCTTGAGCAAGAAACTTTACACTCATTGCTCAGTACTGGTTGGTTGCAGGAAGGGATTTGAAAGTGTGTCTATAAGCTTATAGCTTCCTACACAGTCAAACTAAAAATAAATTCTGTATAAACCAAATTATTATGGTATGGGCCTAGGAACTTCAAACTTGGTATGAAGATTGGTCACAACCAAATTATTTTTGGGGTCATTAGGTCAATAGTCAAAATTACAATGACCTGGCTTCATGACTAATTGGCTGATGGGTGTGGGCGTACATGTTTTACAAACAAGTCTATTTTGATTTTTTTTAATGAAATAGGATTTACCAATTTTAAGTAGAGGTACTTGACCATTTTTATGCTCCCTGAAGGGTGAGCATATAGTCCCCACTTTGTCCATCTATCTGTCCACTAATGGGACAGTAATAATGTGGCTAGAGGGATAATAGGTAACTGTTCTTTCTCTTTGATGTCATTCTTTCTGTTATGCTTTTCTGTGGCTAAAAAAAAATAATAGAGAGATCATTAGAGTAGCCACAGAACATTCCTCCGTCTGTCCGCTATTCTTGTCCAGGACAAAACTTTGAAACAAGAGGTATCAACATATATGAAACTTTGTAGGTAGATAGATCTTTTTGAGTAGATGTGCAGTACACAAGAACAATAACTCTGCCTTACCTAATTTTGGTATTATTGCCCTTTGTTTATTTTTACATTTTGAACTTTGTTCGGGTTTTAACTCTTAAACTATAAGAGATATCAACATGAAACTTTGTAGGTTGATAGATCTCGTTGTTTAGAAGTGCAGTGCTAAAGAACCATAACTCTGTCTTGCCTAATTTTGGAGTTATTGCCCATTGTGCATTTGTACTCTTTGATCTTTGTCTGGGACATTATGCTTTAATATGTTACACTAAAACGAGCATAAATCATTTACATTCTTTAATAACACACCTTTGAAATAATAAACAACACAACACAGAGTTTAAAGAGGCTAGAGGGAGTATTTGTAAGCCGTCTCCACTAACCGTTTATTTTCCCAACCAACAGAGACAAAATTCTTTTGTTAAGACAAACGTCCAAAAATGCTTCCATATGACTTATAGTAATAAATTTTCTAAGTAAATTCATCTGTGAAAATATGCCAAATACTTCGTGTAAAAGTAAAGAAATATAAACTTTCCAAAATAACTGAATAAGAGAGTTTTGTAAAAACAGAAGTTTTTGAAAATATACGAAAAGTCTGGTTGCTTCGAGCAGGATACCCAACCCTACTCCAACAATGGGAGGGGGTAGTATTGTTGAAGGATGAATCCAGGCTCAAGACCAGTGGCTCCTTCGCGAACCTACCTAACATAAAACCCAAATTTAGCGGTCTATAATTTTATGTCATAATGGAAACAAATTTTGAAAATTATAAATTAGGCAAAGACACAGATAATTTCTCCCTGAAATGAACTCATTTCATGTACATAATTATATGCAAACAGAATAATAATTCACGGTGAATCAAAACGGAATTAAATGAATATGCCTCATTGATTATGAAAGTCCATGGATATTATTTATTTTGCGTATAAAGACACATGTTTACTTAACTCTGAGCTGTACATAATCCTGAAAAAGAAAACAATTGTAAGAAACATTTACAAAACTTTCTGTCTAAAACTAACTACATGTATAAGTAATATCAAGTTGAAACTTTGTAGGTAGATAGATCTCATTAAATAAAAGTGCAGTGCAAAAGAGCCATAACTCTGCATTGCCGAATTTTGGAGTTACCGTATTAAAGTGCTATTTTCTGCGGGAACTTTATTTCTGCTATTTCTGCGGTTCATATCGACACCGCAGATTTAAAAACCGCAGAAAATTAAGCTCTGTATGTATATGTCGGAATATGTCAACTACCGGTATTGTATAATTACATTACCATGTACCGTTATCAGCTTTTGTAGATGGGAATTTTTCTTATGTATCTGTCGTGAATAAAATATTAGAAAAAAATGTTACTTTGCTTGTTCTCTTTGCTTAAATAAGTATTATGTTTGTATGATTTTCGCTCACTCTTAGCTTGATTTTTTGTTGTTGTAAAATCGGACTATTTTAGTTTGACGGGTGCAATAAACATACCCTTTTGTATTTCTACTATATCTTGTGTCCATGTTCGATTTTGCCACTGTTTATTATTCACACTTCATATTTATACACACACAGTATTAAAATTGTTATCATTGCACGTTTATTAAAATGTATATACCAATACATGATAATTACGACGAAACACATAATCAGTCGTCTGCATGTTAACTGGAAGTTATGTTATATCAACAAATCTTGAACTGTTTGTGTATGTTAATTATCTTAATTAAAACGCAGAATTAAAAAGCATCAAATATGATAAACAAGATCAACAAAGAAAGGCGGCGTTCAATGAACACAACCCCCATATGACCCAGCAACAAGAACCAGTGGCAAGGAGCCCAGGTGGACCCCAAACAAAAAATCAAGGCGAGAATGATGACACCGCAGAAATAAGATACGCAGAAATTTAAAACCCTTTATTTTAACAAAAATCGCAGAATATTAAGCCCGCAGAAATAAGTACTTATACGGTATTGCCCTTTGGTATTTTTTTTCACTTTGAACTTTGTCCGAGACATAGCTCTGAAACCATAAGAGGTTTGTAGGTAGATTGATCTGATTGATTGATTAAATTTTCTTTAGACCGGGCGGTCAAGGATAACCTACGAAAGTGCAAGCACTTATTTCCAGTAGGGTCCTTACCTCAGCAGACACTAGAGACAGCTATGAGATACAAGGAAATCCGGGAACCAGTCCCTAGCTCTTATTGAATAGATTCCTTGGTTCTTTTACATGCCCAGTGTATAGCACTGATACATGCGAGGATTACCTGGGTTTCGTACCAGTAAACCTCTAGTTAGGTTGGAAACACTGGAAGTGTTTCTGAAAAATCCCAAGGGTGTTACCCAGGATCAAACCCGGAACCTCAGGAGTGACAGTCAGTGGTCTAACCAACTGAGCTATCGCGCCACCTGCATTAAATAGAAGTGCAGCGTAAAAGAACCTTTACTCTGCCTTGCTTAATTTTGGAGTTATTGCCCTTTGTTCATTTTTACACTTTGAACTTTGTCAGGGACATAACTTAAAGAGGTATACTTTTCTGTGTCCAAATCCTACTCGGGGAGCATCACCCGGTTCAACCAGTTCTTGTCTATGTTGACCTATTTAACTCTTGACTTTTCTGAATTTAAGGGGATAGTTCAAGACTTATATAAATTGCATGTTTTTGGAAAATATGTGTGAAAGGTTTCCTTTTCTTAAGTGTTCTGACATTTCAAATTTTCATATCCTTGACCTATCACATCTCATACGCTTTGCACCAGTTGACTTTTGATGATTTGCTAAAGAAAATTTGATGTCGTCCACTGTTGTTTAGCAAGACAATATGAGCCGCGCCATGACGAAACCAACATAGTGCGTTTGAGATCAGCATGGATCCAGACCAGCCTGCTCATCTGCGCAGTCTGATCAGGATCCATGCTGTTCGCTATCAGTTTCTCTACTTATTAAAGGGTTTGTAAGCGAACAGCATGAATCCTGATCAGACTGACCTTGGTTTGTGCTTGTTGCATAGTTATATATTTAGTTGCTGGCAGCAAGTTAAAAGTATTTAAACATATTTATTTAAGCTCGATAGCAAAACAAGTATTTGCTACTTATTTTAATCTTTTTTTAGTCTGGTTCCTGGAATCAACAAGTATTGGTGTCATATGAAGAAACAAGAAAGAAAGAGTAGGGCTCAAATCCATAATCTTACATGTAGGTTGGAAGGCAGACACCTTAAAACCACAAGGTCACCCCTCCCTGTAAACAAGTTAAAAGTATTCATTGAATATTTCAGGTATGAACTTTTTGCACCTGAAGATGATGACGAGGAAGGAATGTGTGATGACAGTACAACTAGTTCTGAAGTCAGTGCTCTTCTGTAAGCTAGGAACCAGCTGTTATAACTGGGTCAGTTTACGAATACAAAACTGGAACCAGCCCTTTAGGATTTCAGATGAGATTGTAAAGGAAAACAAATTTTGCCATGTGTTGGCTTTACAATACATTCCACCATTTATTGACATTGTATGTGATTTTATTACTGGTGATTGGTCAAGCTTATGTACAAAAGCTGTGCTGTACATAATATGAGGCTTGTTGAAAGCTTAGAACATGTAAAAAATGGATGTGTTCACTTCAGGTTTTAATGTCTTTGGTTAAAGTATCAGCAAAATATTAGGGAAAAAATATGATGGTTTTTGTATTAAAAGTTTTTAAGATTTAGTAGAGAAAATTGTAATATTGCCTAGAAATTGTACATATTGTGAAAAGGAAGGTGTAGTGATTGTACAAAGAAACATCATTTTACATTTGTACAATGCTATACCGGTAGTTGTACAAGTTTGGAAATGTACAATTTTTAGGTTAAAGTGTATATATAAAATGCACTATATATAAAATAGACATATTTGATATACATTTATACAGACTGCCATACCTATTCAAGTGACTTCATTTTACAGACTGGAATATTCTAATTGTACTAGAGGAACCTGCTACAATATTGAATTGAACTGCGTCACGACAAAACCAACGTAATGCGTTTGCGACCAGCATGGATCCAGACCAGCCTGCACATCCGCGCAGTCTGATCAGGATCCATGCTGTTCGCTATCAGTTTCTCTACTTGTTATAGGGTTTGTAAGCGAACAGCATGGATCCTGATCAGACTGCGCGGATGCGCAGGCTGGTTTGGATCCATGCTGGTTGCAAACGCACTATGTTGGTTTTGTCATGACGCGGCTCAATTAATTTTTTTAGCCTCTTAAACCCTTAACCTGCTGGAACTGAAAATGATAGACTATTGCCACCAGTATAGAGCCAGGCCAGCCTGTTTATCGTTGCAAACTGACTATACTGTTAGTAACTAAATTTTTATATTTTAATATTGAAATCCCATAAACTTTGATGGTGGGGGTTGTTGGTAGTTAACCTTCTGTATCATGGCAGTAAGCTACATTGAATTTATCAGAGCACAGTTTTGCCCTGGCAATTCGTTCCTGGGCAGGCTGTCAAGCAGTTTACCAGTACTAGTTTCACTGTAACCTTCACTTTTGCAAGGAACTGATAACTTTTGTACCTGCCAGAGTAGAGGTACAGTGCAAATGACTGAAGAAAAGATTTCATAATCAATCACAACAAAATTGATCTGCACCATATGGGAATTGAACTTGGTTTGCCCAACTGACAGTCAAACGCTGTACCTATTGAACTAACTCGACAGTATCCATAAATTTTCAATGGAATAATAAAAATTAAAAGTTTGATAAATTCATTAGATTGACAGCAGCTTAAGGGTTAAGATGTATGAAATTAGGTGTAATTTTTTCTTATTTTGTTTAATTGATTCATTAAGTAAATTTGCCTACATCAGGCTTCTTATGTTTGAAAAATAATAAACATTTTGTAAGGTAATTTTCATTAAATATTACATTGAGTGTAGTTTAATTTATAATAAACTGAAAAATAAAAACAACAAAAAAAACAAAACTATAAAAATCGCACAAACTGTCCAGTCTTATTGTTTTCATATTCTTATTGTGGTATTTGCAGGGTTTTATCGCAGTGGCTAACAATGTTTAGACTTTAGAATATCATATATAAATAAATCTTATATTCTTCCTCAATTTTCATAATTTGACCCGTCATGAGTAAACACTTTAATAGAGCTTAGTAACTACTCCTGCTTTGTATATTTTTTTCCCATCATGATCCACTATTTCCTTTTAAAAATTGTAACAAAACATTATTTCAAAAGTACCGTTAAGAAAGCTCATATGAATTTTTCGAATAATTTCGCCCCTTCATCAAAAGAAGGACGTAAATTGGAGTCACTTGATAAAACTACAAACATCTAATACATGTAATAAGTTCTTGAAAATCAATTTAAATATATTGCATATCTTTAGAGGTAGTGACTGAATTGATTACAAAATGTGAGGGGTTGGTAAACAATGACCTACAAAAGTTGCAACTGTTTTCTCCAAAACCTGTGATGCATGTGTATCAATTACACACCCCTCTAAAATGGGCTTTGTCTGCTTTGAGTAACAGAATTAATAAGAGAAGTTTTGATTTTCAAATGAAATACAAATTTGATGGTTTACCATTAATTAGATCTATTTTATAGTTGATGATTTTCGTCATATTTAGTCAATAGACTTAATCCAGGATTTAGGATATTTTGGGTTCTCCCACTTAAAGGGACTCCACTGAGGTTTTTTGACATGATTGGACTGAAAATATTTTTTTCCAGATAAATGTACCATTTGATGTTGGTTTAGACCACAAATCATTGTGCAAAATTTCAGATCATTCGCGCACTTCGTTTTTCAAGAATAATTATTCAAATTGTAAAAAATGACCCAAAATGAAAAGCGTTTAAACGCTTTTCACTCAAATTGGGCTAAGGAAAGCCAAAAAATACAATTTTCTATTTATTTCAAAGTATATTTCTTAACTATCTTTGCATATATTTCTGTTTAAAGTGTCCCAGCTCAATTATGTAAGAAATTCAAATGTTATGTTTTTAGGCTTTTAAACCTCAGTAGAGTCCCTTTAATCCGGGGTTACAAAGAAACTTTCACAGTTGTAACTTTGAAAATAAGCCCAACAAGTTGATTTAACTATTGTGAACTGTTTTGCACAGTGAAATTGTAAAGGTAAAAACTTGTACACAGGGATAAGTAGGGAAAACCCACATTTTCTGAATTTCAGGTAACAAGTATTGCAGCTTTTAAAACCTGAAAGTAGAACATCATGCGCACAAAGTCCTAGGCCACCATTTCTTTTTTTGGTTGGGTTTATGTCGCACAAACACAAGCTTTATTGGTGGAAGACGAGCACTTCCTGAACCTAAATAACGCTGGAAAGTTGCCATATAACCTTCATAGTGTAAATGTGCGACAAAAGAAAAGAGAAAAAACAAGTGATGAATCACTTCCTGAAGCCTAGGAGAGTTGTTAACTTCATTAGCATTTCAAAGAAAATCATGTATCTACCTTTCACAAGGAATGTCATTATTTTGAAAAGGTGTTAATAATTACATTGTAAGAACATAACATATATTTGTCAAAGATAAGCTTATGGAAGATTTTGTATTATTGTTTTTTATGGTGGTTTTATGTAGGTAACAACATGTACAAATAGTCTTGAAATTGATTGTTTTTTGTTAATACACTTTGATATTTTAAGTTGTTATTTCTGTTGTGGTTTCATTAAATATTTTAGATTCCTGTCTGTCTCATTAGCATATCTTAAATATTGTTTTTAGTTCTTCATGATTGTTTAATGTTCACTTTCCTAATTGTGTATTATTTTCCGTCAACAAAATAATGTTACATATGATTAGTAAATTATTCAGTGTCGTTGAGCAATGAAATTTTATTATATGAGCCATGTCATGACAAAAGCGAACAGCATGGATCCTGATCAGACTGCGCGGATGCGCAGGCTGGTCTGGATCCATGCTGGTCACAAACCCACTATGTTGGTTTTGTCATGACGTGGCTCATATCATTTATATACTTAATAATTTTTCTGTGTATGAATAATTATGTAAATGGAGAAGGTATATTTATATTTTATAATATCTGTATAATTATATAAATTTCTATGCAATAAATAATAACAGTTATTAGATTGTTAATTTCTTTTTCATAACAAGAGCTGTGGGGACTACATCATACTTGAATATCCTCGGTACTTGATAGTAAAACAAGAGCCTGAATAATGTAGAATTTTTGAAGTTCAAAATCTGTCAAAATCTCTGTTATAATTATAAGCTTTGGACAGTGACATCATATTACGCTCTGTAATAAGTGTGTGAAGTTACAACCCGTTCCCTTCAGTAGTTGAGGAGATACCAACTTGCACACAAAAACTAAAGTTAAGTGTGATGCTGACGCATGGGAAAGAATAAAAGCTCTCCCTATTCTTGAATAGTCGAGCTTAAAAAGAGAAAAGGTGGAACATATCGGTTTGGCTTACTAAATTGTAGCCTTAACATTTAACCTGCTGGATCAGAAAGTGAATATCCTTTACCAGTGTGTGCTTTTTTTTGAGGCCCCTCTGCTTTAATAATAACACAAAGTATAGGTCTTTGCTGTGTTGAATAGGTGAGTTTGTTGCTTCAAAATGATTCTCTCATGGTATGCCTGGAACAAAAATAGAGTATGAAAAAATTACAAAGGGCGTTAGTTCATACAAGCAGCTTTTTTGTTTGATCGTGTAGGAAGCTATAAGCTAAGTATAGACAAACTTTCAAATCTTTTCTTGAAAACAACCAGTACTTAGAATTCTTTAATTACTAGTCAAACAAATTAATTACAGCTTGACCATGGCACTAGTTAGGCATTTACTCCAAAATTATGTGAAGGAAATCTTTTTTAAGTACTGTACCTTTATATCTCCATCTATCGACCTATAAAGTCAGTTCTTGATATCTTGGACAATATTTAAGAGTTAATTGCCCCTTACACATAAAACAAATCCTGACAGATGGACAAGCTGTTTACAGTATATAAAACGTAATAAATAAAAAACCCACCCCCCCCCTCTGATTACATCTTGTTGTGCAATGATGTTTACAAAAAGTAAGCATTCGCCTATTTTATTCCTATAATCAAAATTAGCCAACGTTAATTGAAATATCTTCACAAACATCTCCAACAGAGACTCCCCTGGAAGAATCGTGATAATGAAATCATTAACAGAATGCTGAAGTTGAAAATTTCATATTTACAATAGGTGTAGAATAAAATTTGCACAGGGGAAAAAGTAATATGTTTATATGTAAGTTAAAAAAACAACAAAATGTTGCAAGAAAAATGTTATTGCACAAAAATAATATGAAACTCGACTAATAATTATGGAGACATGGAACAACGATGCATATTATAAATGTAACTGTCAACGGTCATTATATCAAAGAGTTCATTTTTTTTACCAGAATTTCTCATTTTAAATTATGTATGAATTGCTTATCAATGTTAGTATTTCAGTAAAAAATGGCCAAGATGCATAAGGCTTAGAACATCTTCTGATTTTTAAACAACTCAGTTAATATATAAACACTTGGCAGTAGTTTATAAATTATCACCAGTTCCCATAATTGAGTTGGATACATGTAGATAATGGTCCAGATATGACTTCATGAACTTATAACATGGTGTGGCATGTACATATGTACGTTTTTTGACCTGATGATTTCGAATATATGAGACCTGGTTTTGCTATTGATTCCTTTCAAATAGTTTTATTTTCTTTTGATATTTAACCTGTCTGTGGGCCAATATTCATGCATTTTAAGACATGGTTAAGGCATTTATGGCAATAAACAAAGGGAGAGCACTACCTTACACACATATAATTTTTAGAGTTGTCTCCCTTAAAAAGAACAAAGCTTCACATACTTGTTATACCTTACAGGGTTACATTCAGATATTTGACATGCTGTGTTTTCAAGTTTGACAACTACGATGGAAAAGTCCTTTTATGATATTAAGCATGGAAAAAGATTAATATAACCTTCAAATATGTTTCATTATCTTTATTTGCTTCTTTCTTTTGAATGAGATAAAAAGTAGTTAAAAATAAAAATATAAGAATAATTAAATGATTTGAATAGTCACATAGTGTAATTATCACAAATCTATATAAATGCCCAAATGACCAGGGGTCTGAAGTTTTAGTGGTTACTATTTCCTCACAACCAAGAGAATAAGAGTCTGATCCAAGCATAACAGTAAAACATATGATATATGGTGAACTATTTTCTAGATTCCTTAACCTGTACCCTCCTGCAGAAAGGGGTAGTATCACCTCCTTCATGTCAGTTTTACTACCAAACTTGTGATATTTTATTTGAATAACTTTATTACTGACATCAGAATTCCCATTCCAAGTCAACACAACCCAGTTTTGACCAATCTCTGATACTTTTACTTCTATTTCTTCCTGAATTTTATTACTAAAAGGTGATTTTTCATTGGTCGATTTTGAATTACTTTCATCCAATCCGATGCCCCCATTTAAAATCATTATCCCAAAAAAATCCCCTGACTTCCCAGTCTTACCCAGGTGAACTGGGAAAATGGTATGAAATTTTTTTTGGGGCTAATCTTTTCAACAAAGTTAAAACAGATATTGCCTTGGGGGCCCCAAAAAAGTCTTTTAAACCCCAAATGGTCACTGTACATTTGAAAGGTTCCGTCCGACAAAAAAAAAAGTTTGTTTTGGGGTACAAAAAAAGAAAAAAAATGTTTTTGGAAAAACTTTTAAAAAAACCTATTTCTGGAAAAAGGTTTAAAACCCCTCTTTGCTTGGGTTTTTTGGTAATTTAAGTTTGCTGGTTGTGAGATAATCCCGGAAACTGAGATTTTTTGCCTTTTATACAAAAAAATCTCGGTAAAACTCTTTTTTATTTATTAAAAGACCAAATCAAGTTTTTTTTTAAGTTTTTTTAAAAAACCATGAAAGCGTCTTTTTCAAAGTTTTTGACATCGTTGTGGCTAGCATTTATAACTAGCAGATTTTTCCACATATTTTGTTTGAAATTCCGAAATAAAGAAAAATCTTTTATTCCAGTGTAACTTATATCTAGCACATGAACCTTTTGGTCAGAAAATTTTGTAAATGTGATTTCATTAATAATCACTCCTGAACAATTCAAGATAACTCTTTCCTCTACCCTATAAAGATGGCAGTCATTATTATTTCCCTTGATGTCATCAGATGATAAATCGTTCTCTTTGAATGTTGTTTCCAATGCCATGGTTGCAGCAACGAACATCAGACTAGATGTCAGTAAGTCAACACTGGCCATTTTCTACATCAAGCTGACATCTGCAGTCTGAAACACGAAAACAAAATCTTCAAATATGATAGTAGATCCGAGTCTCAGATATGTTCCAATCACAAATTGTTATTGTGTTTTACGGGCTACAAGATGATGCTTATTATCATTATATTAACAATTCAAGTACATGTAGCACATGAAGAATATATGTACAGTGTAATATCTGCAGATTGGCCCTCTCAGAGACATGGATAACAGAGATAGGCAACTTCCTAGCCAGTTAAGATATCACTCATGCTTGCTAAACTTAAAACTTGTAGCAAGTAAAACTTATTAACCAGATAAAATCAAAGCACAGAAGGCACTGAATTTGTTTGGGTCTCAGAATGTCCAGAAAGGTGAAGGTTTGTGAGATTATAAAACCAATTTGTTTTTGTATAGTGCCACCAATGCTTTTCCAGCGTTTTAATTGTAAGTACATTGGCTATAAGACTGATTTGCAACACTGATATTCAATTTTCAATGTTTATTTAAACAATTTGAAAAAAAAACGAGTTGCCTTTAAACTGGGATCTGAACTCCAGACCTCTCGCTTCCTAAGCGAGCGCGCAAACCCCTCGGCCACGGTGAAGTTATTTTTAATTGTGTGAGCAACATTGATAATACCAAATATAAAACATGCTGTCAATGAATTTGAATAATATTTGACATTAAAATCAAAGTATGCCCCGTATAATAATCTACAGTCTGGTAAGAGGTCCACTGAGTGGCAAGGCGGTACAAGTCAACCCGGCCCCAAGTCAGCCCCGGCCCCCCAAATTGGTCAACCCGGCCCCCAAAAACCAATGGTTATTTCTGGTCAACCCTGGCCCCCATTTTACTTATTTTGCTTTAAAATATAAACACCTTATCAAGAAATGAGAAGAAATACGATAGAAGTTATTAGAAAAACTAAACTTTTTTTATTGACATACATGTATTCATGAAAAAGAAACCTTAATGTGTTCAAATCCAATCTTTTACTATGTTATTGTATGTAAAAAAAAAAAAAAAAAGAAATGACCAAAACCCCCAAAATGTTTCCATGAACAGTTTTTAAAGTTAAGATTAATTTAAAGAGATGCTGCCATCTATACACAGGTAAATCGCAGGTCACTGCCTCCTGTCTGTGTCACGCCCACAATGAATATCCACAATCATACAGTTATCAGTCATGATGACATAAAGTGATTTAACACAAAACACTATCAATTTTTCAAACACTTAGTAATATTCCAATACTTTTTTACACAGTAAATATTCTTTGAAAATAAGTTAATAAAAAATGAATAAAGACATGAAAGATACTACCAACTTATTTATACCTTTTTAAACTGTTTGATTAATATCACATCTCAGGTCTGAAATAAATTGTTGATGTACATATAATTGTTGATGTTATATAATTATTCATTATCACAATTGCGTATTAAACTGTTAAAGTCTTAATCCGCACAATTAAATTTACTGACATTTTTATGCCAGTTCATGTTTTTTTTTTTTACTATTGTTCTTTAGATAATAATATTCAATTAATAATAAACTATTTTTATTCAAATGACCTGAATAGTTTTCTTTGAAAATATATATTTTGGGGTCGGAATGACAGATTTCTGGGCCGCACTGACCAATTTTGGGGCCGCATTGACCAAATAAAAACACATGTGGGGCCGGATTGACCAATTTTGGGGCCGGCTTGACCAATTTTGAGGCCGGGTTGACTTGGGGCCAGGTTAACTTGGGGTCGGGTTGACTGTAATTCGTGGCAAGGTCCGCTCTGTCCTTAAATCTTCTCACTCAGTGCTGGATAGTTAAAAAAACGCAACATAGAAAAGGGGGTATAATTCTGCACAAAGGTTTTCAAGTCAATTAATACCTGGCCTTGATCAGTGAATACAACAATGTAAAGGTTTATAACAGAAATGATTTTCACCACTTAGAACTAGCTCTTACTTTTTAGTATCTTAATCTTAACAGCTTCTAAAAGATAACACGAGGTTTATAACAGAAATGATTTTCACCACTTAGAACTCTTACTTTTTAGTATCTTAATTAATCTTAACAGCTTAAGTTAACACGGAGGCTTCTGTCATTTTTTCTTATCCCACTATATGTACAGTAGATTTAACAGTGTTTAATGAACAGGTCTAGTATATCGCCAGATTAGTGCATGATGCACCAGTATGTGTATGATGCACTAATTGGTGTATTTTTTGATGCACCAATTGGTGTACCAGACTATCATTCAAATATTTGAAGACCCATTATTTTGTAAATATAGCAGTGTGAATTGTGGCACCTGCACTTGCTATAAATAATATTCATAGAAATATCTTGAAAGAAATTGATGTAAACACTGGCAATTCTTGCACTTTTTTGAAAATCCTTATGATACACTAATTGGTGCATCCCAAAATTGGAAGTGGTTATTTTCTTACTTTCCAGTCAAGAGATAAGTTTAAAACTAAGTATACCTAATCTGATTCTCAGAATAATAACTAGATATGAAATATGGAAATGAATTTCTGTCTGCAAGTTACAATTTTTCAGTGGATGAAAACATTAAAATCTCCTGAAGTTCATTTAGATCAGAAGTTGTGTTTATTCTTTGTCAATAAAACAGACTATTACCAATGTTATGTGCAGGTGCCAAAACATGATTATAAATAAACAATAAATTATTTACAGAAACACGTTTATCAAAATTTTTATTCACCGATCGGTGTATAATTAAATACATCAATTTGTGTATTATGTACCAATTTGTGCATGATGCACTAATATGGCGATATACTAGACCTGATGAAATAAGGACAGATTTCCTTGTGAAAGTGAACCGGTGTCACTGGTGGGCCGGTCTAAAACGCAGACGCTTATGCAGACAATATATATATAGTAAAACGCAGACAATATAGATATAGAGTGTTTTCACAAAACGCAGACGATATAGAAATAGAAGGATAGAAGGTGTGAATTAGACTCTTAACTGCTTGTCACCACTTTTTTTTTCAGATTAACTTTATCAAATAAGAGATTTATAAGAATTATTATTTGGTACAAAAATAACATTTTAATTAGAGATTAGAAATGTTTTTATTTAAATGTTTTATCAGTATCATAATATCAACAATAAATATATAAATAGTGATATAAGAAAGGTTTTTTTTATTCTATGTTAGATTTTAATTAAATTTATTTGAAATAAACTATTTAATACTAGCTTTGCATAATTTGTAACATAAAAGAAATGTGGACAAGAAAGTAATATATTAATGGCTAATGCTTTTTGGCTGTCTCCTACTATACTGTACTATATATCTATAGTGTCTGCATTTTACTATATATCTATATTGTCTGCGTTTTACTATATGTTTCATATTGTCTGCATTTATCAAAAGTTGTACTATATATCTATAGTGTCTGCATTTTACTATATATCTATATTGTCTGCGTTTTACTATATGTTTCATATTGTCTGCATTTATCAAAAGTTGAACTATATATCTATAGTGTCTGCATTTTACTATATATCTATATTGTCTTCGTTTTACTATATGTTTCATATTGTCTGCATTTACTATATATCTATATTGTCTGCGTTTTACTATATGCTACATATTGTCTGCATTTATCAAAAGTTGTACTATATATCTATAGTGTCTGCATTTTACTATATATCTATATTGTCTGCGTTTTACTATATGTTTCATATTGTCTGCATTTATCAAAAGTTGTACTATATATCTATAGTGTCTGCATTTTACAAAATGAATTTAATCTTAAACAAATATGTTCTCTATTATATCTATAGTGTCTGCATTTTACTATATGTTTCATATTGTCTGCATTTACTATATATCTATAGTGTCTGCGTTTTACTATATGCTAAATATTGTCTGCATTTATCAAAAGTTGTACTATATATCTATAGTGTCTGCATTTTACTATATATCTATATTGTCTGCGTTTTACTATATGTTTCATATTGTCTGCATTTATCAAAAGTTGTACTATATATCTATAGTGTCTGCATTTTACAAAGAGAATTTAATCTTAAACAAATATGTTCTCTATTATATCTATAGTGACTGCATTTTACTATATGTGTCATATTGCCTGCATTTACTATATATCTATAGTGTCTGCATTTTACTATATGTTTCATATTGCCTGCATTTACTATATATCTATAGACTGTCTGCATTTTACAAAATGAATTTAATCTTAAACAAATATGTTCTCTATTATATCTATAGTGTCTGCATTTTACTATATGTTTCATATTGTCTGCATTTACTATATATCTATATTGTCTGCGTTTTACTATATGCTACATATTGTCTGCATTTATCAAAAGTTGTACTATATATCTATAGTGTCTGCATTTTACAAAATGAATTTAATTTTAAACAAATATGTTCTCTATTTTATCTATAGTGTGTGCATTTTACTATTTGTTTCATATTGTCTGCATTTACTATATTTCTATATTGTCTGCGTTTTACTATATGTTTCATATTGTCTGCATTTATCAAAAGTTGTACTATATATCTATAGTGTCTGAATTTTACAAAATGAATTTAATCTTAAACAAATATGTTCTCTATTATATCTATATTGTCTGCGTTTTACTATATGTTTCATATTGTCTGCATTTACTATATATCTATAGTGTCTGCATTTTACTATAAGTTACCATATCTATAGTGTCTGCGTTTTACTATAAGACTTTTTTCATATGCTACTGTAAATTAGGATATATTTACTTAAAGTGGTTGGAAGTTTTCATTAATCATACTTTTTTAACATAATTGTATCAAATTATGTGTTTCTCTGCAGAAACAAAGAGACACACACATTTAAATTAAGTGGCAATATACTAATACACAGGATGTGGTCACACTTTCCTTATCAACAGGGGACAAACTGTGGGGGTAACTCTAATCCCTTTGGCTATAGGCAATTAATTATGCACATGTGAAGTGACACTAATCTAATCAATTTCAAACAATCATCAACAACTTAATGCAATCATGAAGCATGACATAATTAGGCCATGTCTGCAAAATTCATTTCACTATATATTTATATTGTCTGCGTTTCTTTGCAATTACTATATACTCTATATCGTCTGCATTTTACTACATGTTCTGCACTGTTAATTAAAGAGATATAACGCAGACGATATAGAGTATAAAGTAATTGCAAAGAAACGCAAACAATATAGATATATAGTAAAATGAATTTTGCAGACGTGTTTTTCTTTTTATTAACATTAAAGAAACGCAGACAATATAGATATTTAGTGATATGATATGATAAACAAGTGTTTTTTTTAATTACATTTATATTTATATTTTTACATCACATTGTTTTTTGTGGTTTTTTGTGTAATAATTTTAAATGCTTTATAACATTGTTTTTTCTTTAACTATTTGGTGATTACTTTGTAGATGGACTAAGTATAAAAATCAAATAAAATATGTTCTGTTCTTTAAATTTATTTTGAAATTTACTTTATTGTCCCAATTAAAATTCTCCCCATTAAAGTTTACAAAACTTATATTAGACATTTAACTTGAAATAATAAAAGTTTATTCAAATCAAGCATAGAATGTCAAAAAAGACAAAAACAACACCTTTTTATATCACTATTTATTATTTCTTACCAAAAAATCATAAAATATATTTCTATTCTTTAAAATTCTTATTTATTATTTTAATATCAATACCTATAAATCTCTAATATCTGACAATTTTGATCTTAAAACTACAAATCTAAACAGCTTTGAAGGGTGTAATTTACCCCTTCTTATTCTATATTGTCTGCGTTTTGTGAATACACTCTATATCTATATTGTCTGCGTTTTACTATATATCCTATATTGTCTGCATAAGCGTCTGCGTTTTAGCCTGTGCCGTCACTGGTGAAGTTGCAAGTCGACTATTCTCAGTAAAAAAATGAATGACAACTTATGCTTAGGAACAAAAGTCATACCTAATACAATGTAGATGTATTTCAGATATTACAAGATGATGACTTCTTTGTTTGACAAAAAATAATCACTTTGTTGACACATTGGTAAATTTGATAAGAGTAGTGTCCCTTAGGTCATAAAAACGCTTGAAATCAAGCGGTCAGCAAGCGCTTCGGACAAAAGATCATTCAGGAAATTCGTCATTTTTATTGGTAAATTTCTTGACAAAATAGCATGATGTAGGGAATATTGTATTGCTAAGTGTTCATAGATTAATTTTTACATTTTTTTCTGATTACACAACCATCTTTTCATAGTTTATTAGGGTTGTTTCATTCCACAAACTTGAATAGTAGTCGGATAGGGTACAGTAAAGAGTGAGATCGGCCCTGCACCAACTTGGCACGGGTTAACTCGGCCAACTTTAAAAAAACAACATATCCTTTCGGCGGCCACCACCTTTTCAAGCATTTTCATAGAGACCCCCTACCTCAAAGTGTCGCCTCTCAGTCCGTATAGGCAGTTACTGGCGATGTTTCAACCCTATGACATTCTGATTTAGTGGTGTGTGACATAAAAGTGCGCGTCAGAGCGAGCGATTTCAGGACGTGACGACATGCGCAGGCTGTTATGCTGATGTATGCGCGGCTAACTTAAAAAAAAAAAAAAAAAAAAAAAAAAAAAGAAACCGGAAGTTTAAACGCAGTGCAGCTGTCTCCTACATGGTTAACTTTGTGTTTGTTTCCCACCTTGACCATTTATCTGTTCGAAAAAAATAACATTTTGGCAGGAAAAGTCACGTGACACGCACCTGGTGAGAAACATGTGTTGGCGGTAGTATTCAAATTTCCAATTTTGTAAAATTCGCACGCAAACACGTCTTTAAATGGAAATAGCGGTGTTCGAAATTCGTCCTTGACCTTGATCACGTGACATCCTGTATTATGCCATGCATATGTTTCAATGTTGGAGCCTAATCCAAATTTGAGGAATTAATATGGAATCTACGGAAGCCCAAAAGTGCCACCTTCGCGAAATACGTTTTATTACGTTACAGCTGCTGAAAGGATATACAGAAATCCCAAAATGTCTATTTTAGTGGTATTCTATGCCGGAAAAGCGATTTTTCGTATCAAATAAGGATAAAACTGCTGAAAATCATTTTTATATAAAAAAATGACTTTTCTCCTATATCCTTTCGACGTTTTATTACGTTACAGCTGCTGAAAGGATATGAAACGTATAAACTTTTTCAGATTACTTGCATGTTACCAAGGCAAGCTGTTTTAAATGTAAAATAACAGAAATCCACAGGTGCTTTAAACAAACTTTTTAAAGTTTTATATGGGCTATTTACTATAATAAGATTTATATACATATAGACCGGTCATGTAAAAATATTTGATTATGTGACTAGCGCCTGTGCAGAAATCTGGTATATAATTTTATATAATTGTACATTGTACTTCTGTTTATTTATAGTATACAGTACTCGGTTCCTATTATATCACGGGTTCTGTATGATATCAGGGTATTTACGTTTTCTGTGACTGCTGGTTAAAGCAACTCATGATGATGCTAATATTTTTAAAACGGGCACACTAAATTCATTTTCATCTGCCAATAAATTCAATTTTGTAAATAATGAATTAATATATTCGTGACAAGAAAAAGATTTTATAAAATCGTCATATTTTACTACTAATTTCCTTAAATGCTTTTACACTGTCAATTAAAATATGTTATAATCACATATACTGACATATCATCTGTTCATATTATAGTTTGAATTTTATAGCAAGTTAACTGTTGGAAGTTTTTCACAACTTAACTTGAAGATTTTGACCCATCTATCCTTCTATACTTGCATTTTTGAGGATTACCGTGATACCATTATAGGAACCTCCTCTGAAATTACCCAAAATGGCAAACATTGGAAATAGTTTAAAAATGTCATTTTAATTGGATCTTTTGAAATAATTTTTTGACAAAAACAGTTTTGGAAAAGGTTCACTTCTTGTTACAATTTAATTTAGAATAATTGTTATGGAAAAACTTGGTAAGTATAAATTATCTGTAATTTTGCACAGAAGTTATTGGTGTATATCTACATTGAATGGAATATTTATCAAGAAAAAATTATTTTCTGTCCCGCCATGTCAAAAATCTTCAATGGAGTCCCGATAAGCATAGATTGGTGTTAAATTTCTAAACATAAAAATTGAGCTTGACCTTAATCTTCTGATACTTGATTCTTTGTGAACACAGGGCCAAGGTATAATACAATTTATTCATTTGTTCAAGAGACATTACTGTGATAGTAACTGTATACATTAATATGTTTGTAGATAAAATGACTTGTACATTCACTACATGTATTTCACAGTTTGTTTTGTCCGGTAGGATTTAGTCATTGGCAGAGAAATTTGGCATGGTGGCTAACATGTTCTTCCACAAATGTTGCTATAAAATAATAACTATGGTCATATCCCTGAAATAAAATAAGGAGTGTTAGCATATTAATGTCCTTGTCATATCCAAGTTTAAACATATTTAGTCTTGCTGTATTCAAATGATACATTTCTGTTGTTTTTATCAATATTTGAAAAATTTATGTCAAGTTTGCCTTGGACCTATCCACTTTAAATAATGTGTCAGCCTGATAATTAAGTGGTAAGTGATTAATGGTTTAAATATTAGCACCGAAACATTGACCACTTAAAATATCCATTCTGTATATTAACGTCTTTGATATAAGTAGTCTAACAAATTGACACCTTAATTATGATAATTTATCACATAGTGGATATTAATGCAATAGTCATTAGTACATGAATTAGCATGTCTACCATTTTATTATCACATACTCGGATATTATTATTGAGAAATTCATTGCAGGATAATGAGGATGTTTCTATTGCATTTAAAGATCAACGTTTGCATGTGTTTGCCTATATTAAGGTTAAGCTGAGGTTTGAACCCAATCTCACAAGCGTTAGGCAAGGTCTTTATCTGGTACTGGTTGCAGTGATTTTTTTTGTTTTCATTTTTCCAAACAGCCTATGGCTTTCTGAAGGGGAAAATGTAGCATGATATTATGTCAGAAAAGGGGAAAACCTGAAATCAAATTCAAACAGCTGTGAATGAAATTTACCCAAACGTTTTATAAAATTTATAATTTTAATTCAATGTAACATTTATGGTACATAGCGCAGTAAAAAAATGTGCACAGGGCATTTCAGCGGAAAATTTACCTCAAAATTTGGGCAAGGGGAAACAGCCTTTATTCGGCTGTAAAATTCAGTGGAAAACACAACAAACACAAATAAAATATTATACCTGTAGTATAGTTAACTAATTAATACAAGTATTAAAACTTTTCAACAAATTTATATAAGTATCAAAACTTTCCAACTTTAGAAAAAGTGTAAGAAATTCAACTAATTTCTTAGATGTAAATTTGCTCTAAAACCTCAGAAACCTGAAGCAGATGTTGTAAATTAGAAACAGAGATGATATTAAATTGTTTAAACATGCATGTCCTGAATTTGATTGAAATAAACTCCAACAGTGTCTGCAGTATTTGTGTGGGAAAAAAACTTAAAGACTGTACAGTCTGTACTTTAACAGAGGATGATTAAATTATTAAACTTTGCCATTAGTACTTGCAGCCTGATCAGGCTCTTGACTGTTGGTAGTAATTTTTTTTGAAATCCCTTAAAGCTACATGCCTCCAGATGAGTCAAAATATCTCAATAAAATCAAACTTGAGAAAAATGAACTAAGATGTAAGGAAAAGTAAAAAGTTTCAAGATTCAAGTAATATTTTACATATTATGTGCGGTTAATGACTGATTTTTCAGTATTTACATACTATATTTCTACTGCGTTACTAACGCAGTAGAGGCTATTTATGCATATTTTGACCACTTTTGGGTAATTTACATGGTTTGTAAGTGCCATTCATAATGTGTAAATTGCTTCCTTTTGGTTACTTCACAATTTTACACATTCAAATGCATTTTCAAAATTTCCATGAAAATTAGTATTAATCTGGAGGCGTGCTGCTTTAAACTTCAAATGGACAGTTCCAAATTTAAAACAGGTTAAGTTTGATAGCTATTTTGTTGTCATTTACTTAGTGTATGGAACATGTATAATTAACCCATGTATAAGCTGACAATTACAAGATATATTTGTTTTACAAGGTTATGATCCCTCGAGGGCATATATTGAACAAGCTATCACTGGATAATTAACATAAATATACTTGTATTTTCTTGTCATATATGCACTTTTTGTAAATGAAACAAATTGATGGTTTTATTTTAGGTAGGAGAATGTTATATTGTGTGATTAAGTTAGGAATAAGTTATACAATAATTTATCCATTACAGAAGTATTGTAAATTATTACTAAAATTGATATTCAAATGGTGTATGGATTTTTATTTCGTAATTATATTTATGCATGAAACAGCTGAATGCCTTAATGGAGTAATAAAGGATATTTAGAATTTTTTATACGCTTCTGTAATTTGGTTTGCTTTAGTTCAAGAATAATTGTCAAAAGGGGGAAAAATTACATGCATGTACTGCTTGATAGGATGTTAATAAAATTTATTTTCTTAGTTGTATAATTATTTGAATGGAATTTGCATTGTTATTTCATGACGCTGGAATATTTTTCATATGTGATCATTCATAGTTTATCTAATACATATGCCATGTAACATAATGATCCCTTATGTCACTAAATGAATCTCTGTTTAATTGATGATACATTATGTATAGGTTAAAGTTTATAAGTACGTATTTACAAAATGAAATTGTGCGCCGCACGACCAATTTAATTTTGTAAATACATACATGTACTGATAAATTTTAACAGGCTTGGTGTTTTAAATTATTTTTATAAATAGTTGATTTACTAGACTGATTAACAGTTTGTCAATTTACTAAAGTAAATCATTAATGTGTTACGATTCATTTGAAATACTGCAATTCTTTTGGACAAAAAATATTTTCAAACACTAAGTAGCATTCTGTATCATATGCATTTATGATTTATATAATAAATATATTTATAAGACTTTTTTTCTATTTCCAGACAGATTTCTGTAAAGGTCAACATTAACTATGTCATCAAGTACTATAACTGTCAAACCTCGTAGAAAAACCGCCCAGTCACCGCCCCCAACAGCACAATCAACCAATCAAAATAAAGGAACTGTACTTTTGCGCAACCCACTACCCAGGTACAGTTTTGATCAGAAGTCAAAAACTGGAAAATCAAAGACTGAAAAGAAAATATCTGTAGAATCTGACTCGAATAAAGATGCGACTGACGATAATCTGACAAATGCTGAAAAGCTAAAGAATTCTAGTGTTTCCTCTTCGCAGTCAAATATTACAGAGCCAGTTGCTGTTTGCAAGCTCGTGGCATCATTCCCGCAAAATTCAATCGGAGTGGAAACTTTACCAGAAACTTCATTTGTGTCAAAACCTGAAAATTGTGAAACTGGCTTGAAAGATAAACCAGTCAATAAAGTGGGACCAATTAGTAAAACACTCACCCATTCAGTCAGTGATTCAGTTATAAGTGTTCAAAATAATTTAGAAAATGGTGCTTCATCTCCACAGACTGGGACCCACAATCAAGAGACACATGTTTTAGACTGTGACTCTGGTGGGAACCAGTCTACAAGTACTGGTTCCCTGTCTGACGAAAAATGTAAATGTTCAGAGAAAATTAAACATCTTGAAGAGGAGAAACAACTTCTGAAGAATCAGCTAGAAGTTCAGCTTCAGGTACATGTAGTGATGTCCTTACATAAAATTACACAAAATCATGGAAATATTTCTTAATTTTCAGGATGTATGTAATAATAGTGCTGTACTCTTTTAAAAGTATGTAATTATATTATTCTTTTAAAAGTTTACCCAAATCCTTGCTTTTGATCACAAAATTGATCCTTACTATAATCAAGTTGTTTTTCTGATTTGTATCTTTGTTCCTAATTCTTTTTTAGCTCACCTGAGCAATGCTCAGGGTGAGCTATTGTGATCGCCCTGTGTCCGTCGTCCGTCGTCGTGCGGCGTGCGTCGTCAACTTTTCACATAAACAACATCTCCTCTGAAACCAATGACTGCACATCAACCAAACTTTACAGAAATGATCCTTGGGTGGTCCCCTTTCAAAGTTGTTCAAATGGTTCCGGTCTGTTGCATATGTAGGTCACAGGGCCAGAAAAGGATTTCAAAAAACACAAAATTAAAAAATCTTCTTGTCTGAAAGTACATGGGCCAGAGCTTTGATTTTTGGTATATGGTATCATCTATGGTCCTCTACCAAAGTTGTTCAAATTTTGTCCCTAGTGTCAAAATTGGCCCCGCCCGGGGGGTCATAGGTTTTCCTTATATGTCTATAGGTAAATCTAAAAAAATCTTCTTCTCTGATTTGGCAAAGGCTACAGATTAGATATTTGGCATGAAACATTGTGTAGTAGACCTCTATCAAGATTGTTCAAATAATGGCCCTAGGGTCGAAATTGGCCCCGCCCTGGGGGTCATTGATTTTCATTACATACATATAGTGAAAACTTGAAAAATCTTCTGGTCTGAAAGTAAATGGCCTAGAGCTTTGATTTTTGGTATATGGTATCATCTATGGGTCCTCTACCAAAGTGTTCAAATTTTGTCCCTAGTGTCAAAATTGGCCCCGCCCAGGGGGGTCATAGGTTTTTCCTTATATGTATGTAGTAAAATCTAAAAAAATCTCTTCTCTGATTTGGCAAGGCTACAGATTAGATATTTGGCATGAAACATTGTTAGTAGACCTCTATCAAGATTGTTGAATAATGGCCCTAGGGTCAAAATTGGCCCCGCCCCGGGGGTCATTGATTTTCATTACATACATATAGTGAAAACTTGAAAAATCCTCTGGTCTGAAAGTAAATGGCCTAGAGCTTTGATATTTGGTCTATTGGTATCATCTGAAGGTCCAATACCAAAGTTGTACAAATTTTTGTCCCTAGTGTCAAAATTGGCCCCGCCCCGGGGGGTCATAGGTTTTTCTAATATATATATATAGTAAAACATAAAAAAAATCTTCTTCTCTGAATTGGCAAAGGCTACAGGTAAGATATTTGGCATGAAACATTGTGTGTAGACCTCTTACCAAGATTGTTCAAATAATGGCCCTCGGGTCAAAATTGGCCCCGCCCTCGGGGGTCATTGATTTTCATTATATACATATAGTGAAAACTTGAAAAATCTTCTGGTCTGAAAGTAAATGGCCTAGAGCTTTGATATTTGGTCTATGGTATCATCTATAGGTCCAAAACCAAAGTTGTTCAAATTTTGTTCCTAGAATAAAAATCGGCCCCGCTTTGGGGGTCATTGATTTTCCCTATATGTATATAGTAAAAACTTAAAAAATCTTCTTTTAAAGAACCCAAAGAGCTAGAGCTAAGAAATTTAGCATGAAACATCTTCTAATGGGTGTCTACCAAGTTTGTTTCAAATAAAGTCCTGGGTCAAAATTTGGCCCCGCCCCAGGGGTCATTGATTTTCCCTATATGCATATAGTAAAACTTAAAAAATTTTCTTTTAAAGAATGCAAAGAGCTAGAGCTAAGATATTTTAGCATGAAACATGTTCTAATGGATGTCTACCATGTTCGTTCAAATAAGGCCCTGGGGTCAAAATTGGCCCCGCCCGGGGGTCATTCATTCATTCATTAGCTAGACTTTTTTTTTTTTAGATATATACATATTATATATATATACATACATATATATATATATATATATACATATGTAATATATATATATCTTATATATATAGTATGTATATATATGTATGCATGGATATATATATATATATATATATATATATATATATATATATTATATATATATATATATATATATATATATGTATATATATACACACATATTTACATACATAAAAATCTTCTTTTAAAAAAACCCAATACCTAGACTTTAGATGTTTAGCATGAAACATCTTCTAATGGGTGTCAACCAAGTTTGTTCAAATAAAAGCCCTGGGTTTAAACTGGCCCCGCTCCGGGGGGCCTATATTTACAGGTGAGCGACTTTGGGCCATCATGGCCCCTCTTTTTCAAAAATGAGTTGTTTTATTACTTTTTTTTTTTTTTTTTTTTTGCAAGTCAGCAGTTTTTATTTTTAACATTTTTAATTTACGTTGACAAAATATTATTTGCCTAATGTGATCAATATAAGTTCATACTCCAATGGAATGAAAAATCAGGATCATTTGATACTCAGATCATGATTCTTTTCAGAAAAGTTGTACATGTAGTTAAGTCACAGAGAATTGTATAATCAACTATATTACAATATAACACTACATACACACATATATATTGTAGGTTAATCAGGAACTGAAGAAACTGCTGGTAGCCTCTGTTGGTGATGATCTCCAGCATAGAGTGGAAAGACTTACTAGGTAACACTACTGTTACGTTGATATTTTCCAGTTATTACTGTGGCAGGGGCACAGAAATACTAAGGTTTTTACAACCGAGACACCAGCATACCTGTAGAATACTAGGGAGAGACCTGCTTACCTGTAGAATAACTCTGTTGACAATTTGATGGTACAACAATACTGCTATAGTCTGTAACCAAAGTTTGTTGCACCAACATTGATAAGGTCATATGGTGACTTTCCAGCTTTATTGGTAGAGGAAGACCTCAGGTACCCCTCCGTGCATTATTTCAGGCAAAACACATGCATATGAGTAGAACCACCAATTTTCCTTAAGCTAGCTGGAAAGTTTACTGACTTCTTGAAAGAATTTCAAAGTCCTTTGTTGGATTTACACACACAAATGTTGATAAGCAGTTTTAAGTCAAAGACCTTAGCCACTCGGCGACGGATGCCTGAATTTTGTCTTAAAGTGACCTAAATGGAACTCTATACTTGATTATAATTTTGTGTCCCAAAATTTTTGGGAGACATATTGTTTTTGCCTTGGCCGTCCGTCCGTCTGTCCATTGGTTGGTTTTCCGTCCATCTTTATTAAGCTTGTCCGCCTTTCACAGGTCAAGCTACTGTTGGAATTTCAACTATACTTTACAGGAGTGATCAGTACCATGCCTAGTTGTGCATATCACAGGCATGTTCTGCTGTACTGCACAAAAAGGCCATCAGAGCTATGTATAGAAAAATTTGTCCGGCCTTCACAGGTCAAGCTGCTGGTGAGATTTCAGTGAAACTTCACATGAGTGACCATATATAGATTTGGGAGAGATACGTTTTAGTGGCAAAAACCCTTCAAGTTGTATAGACTATATATTTATTGTATTTCAGGGATAAGGCTCAAATGTCTATGGAGATTGGAGATTATTTCAAGAAGATGTCAGATGATTATGAACATTTAGATAAAATCTCTATACAAGCTGATATGTGGAGGAGCAAATACTTGGCATGCAGGTAATGTCACAAACTTTTAATAAAAACATTTTTTTGCCATTTTTGGGGTCAGAAATGGAACCCTTATGATTCCCCTTTTCAATATGTTTTTTCCTCTCCTGTTGGTAGATTTTTTCCTGAAAAAACTCAAAAAAGGAATTATTTAATTCAGACTGACAAATTTTCTGCAGATTTCTTGTTAAAATTTTCCATTTGATAGTAATTTATTTATTTTCCACTGTAAAAGGGAGCGATTACTTTGGGTGCACCAATGCTGACAAATATGTGTATATGCAATGCATTGATTTTTGTGAAAAATCTTTTTTTATATCAAACTATAAGTACAGATAATTTATTTTCAATATGTATAAACTATTGAAAACACTTTTATTTCAATACGTTTGAAAAAGCTCACTTTTAAAAGACATCTTGCTCATAACATTAAAGCAGCTTCATAATTTCTGTGCTTTATTGTGTTTTGATTATATATTTGAAATCTCTTCAACTAACAATTTAAAATCCAAATTGATACAATCTATGATTGATTGATTCAGATAAATCCAATATGGCGGCCAAAATCACCAATACTTTTTGCACCTGACTGTAGCATTAATACCATTCTGATAACAAATTTTTTAAGGATAAATATGCCTTTGAAAAAATTCTCAGTTCTTTTTTGTGATCCCTTATTTCATTCATGAGCAAAAATGTAAAAATAATTTTACCCATTGAGAGGGCGTTTAAAACAAGGGGAAAAACTCTTTGCAAATTAAAGTTAGAAATTTATCTTACAGTTGTTCCCCTTGGATTATTGTAAAGTCTGATTTTTCTTGGTTTGATATTTTGCAGGGTAATGGCAGATGAGCTGGCCTCATCTAAGGCATTTTACTCCTCCCAGTTTGAAGAGTGTCAGATAGCCATACAGAAACTTCTTAATGAAAGACATCAACTACGGACAAATCTCTACGACACCTACAGGTGCATTTTTTTTTTCACATAAATTTGCATATATATTACTGTATAAGTGGATATTTCCGCGTGTTAATAATTCCAGACATTTCGTATGAGGAAATATAAGTGAATCATATAATTGTAGAATTTAATGACACATTGGTTGGTATTTTTGCTAAAGGAAATTTTAACTGTTTTCGTCAATTTGCAAAATTTGCCAATATTTCTGCATTGCTTACTTAACCACTTAAACAGTATGTACAGCAGCATAATTATTTGTGTGATAAGCACACAATCTCCTCATTCGTAAAATGACAAGGGGTGTTTTTACAGAATTCATTTGATTTTTTATTGTGTTGAAAGCTGTAAGCATATTGCAACTCAAATCTATTCCTGCAATAAACCAGTACTAAGAAATGAGTGTAAATTTTCTTACAAGGGCTTGACCTTAACAAGGTTTGAACCCAATTGGCCTGCAATCCTTAGACTACTTTATTTACTGTATAGTTTGTATTGCTTTCTTTTTCTATTACCTTGCTGATCAGTATTTCTTTAATATTATTTTATCAGTCATCGATATTTAAATTGAACATATTTGCAAAAGCACATGATTATCAAAAAGACATAAATATATCTCAAGGACTTTTCAGTCTGTCTTAAATTAAACAGATGAATTAGAATATTTTTTTTACTAAATATGAAATATTTTAATCTTTTCAGGGGCCTAACACAAATCCAGGAGGCATTTGATCCGTTAGGTAGCCTTACAACAGGTTCTAAACTGCTGACCTCTAAATGTACCATTGACCTTGCAAGGACCAATCAGCATCTAGTAGACACCATTAAGTACCGCCTCCTCCCAAGTCATGTGACCAGTGCAATGAATAATAAGTTAGAAACAGATTGGCATGATTATCTGACACCAGCGGAAATCTATGCTCAAGAGGTATGTTTATTTATCAGATGCACAAAGGCTATATTTATATTTATCTATGAAGCCAAACACTTGCTTTGCTTATATCATGTTATCATGTGACTTAAGTAGAGCTGTCATTTAGTCATTGCAAGGCCTATCAATGATATATCGGTACTAAATGACAAATATCAACGATACCCTGATATATTAATAATTACTAATAATTACTTGTCCATAATACACTTTCAAACCAGTCCTGTTCAAATGATTTTAATATACATGTAAGTATTTTCTGTTCATACAATAATGCTGTGTCTTGTTTATAAATGCCTATACTGTAGCATTATTTTTTTTCTGACTATTTTATAGGTTATATAAACATTATGATTCAAAATAAGATAGAAATGTAGAAATACAACGCGTCAACACCAGTGCAGGTTCAGTAATTTAACAATCTACCAGTTTCGGTTCTAACGAACCTTTATCAGGAATTATTATTTTCATGATTATCGATGAAATTTGATGTTACAAAATGTGCAGTATAATATATATATGAGCCGTGTCATGACAAAATCAACCCCAAAATGGATCCAGACCAGCCTGCGCATCCGCGCAGTCTGACCAGGATCCATGCTGTTCGCTAACCATTTCTATTACAAGTAGAGAAACTGATAGCGAACAGCATGGATCCTGATCAGACTGCGCGGATGCACAGGCTGGTCTGGATCCATGCTGGTCGCAAACCCATTATGTTGGTTTTGTCGTGACACGGCTCATATGACAATGATATTTTTGTAGTTGCTGACACGTGAGATGAGACCGGAGGACTTCAGATGTTTGATCCCGGCGAGATCGATAATGGCGGCACCTGGAGCGATGTCTGTTGACAGATTTCACCCATGTGCCAACTATGATAATCTCACATTAAATGTGTGCTGTAAATGCAAAGGGGAGATAAGCATTGTTTAAATGTTGAAATTCAGTAACAATAACTCAGACAGTATTTCCTACATAGTCAAAAATAAAGAAAACTACACTGTATTCAGTTTTGCCATAAAAAATCATTTCAGGTGTCTTACCATAACTGTTTTGAAACCAAGAAATTTGATACATAAAGGCTGTTCTTCTGGCTTAGTTAAAAATGTTAGCACATTTTATTTTTACCAGAATTGGTTGTTCATGTTGATAAATAGTCTGATTTAAAAGGATCTGTGCTCTTTTTATGTAGTTGGTAAATGAACAAGGTATTCTTTGTTTTGTATATCTATAAAGTAGAATTTTCATGGCATGATATTTGTTACAAGTTAACTGTTGTAAACTTGATATTCTTGGAAACAATTTTCGACTTTTAGAATAAGGTTAAAGACAGTGTTTTTGTTAGATACTTTGAATGTTGTTTTTTTTTTAATATTTTTATAGTTTTTTTATCAAATGGAAAAAAAACAGTCATTGCTTCAGAGACAGACTTCAATTTTGTGAGGCATTGCTGATTTCTTCGTTGTTGTTTTATACATTACAAATTTTAGTTTGGCTATTTAAAGAATAGGGAAAGCTAGTGTACTCTACCAGGTTTCGGCATCACATTTGCGTTCAAGTTGGTATCTTCAAAACTACTGAAGAAAATGGGTTGAAACTTGACACTATTCTAAAATAAGTAAAATAGGAGGTCACTATCAGTATATCCAAGGCGAGTATCTCCAACATAGATTTTGATAGATTAATGTTCCTTTTTGAATTTACAGAATTCTGCATTAATCAGACTCTTATTATATCTACCCAGCACAGAGAATACTGTATAAGTGGTTTAGTTAGCGATGCATAAATATTGGCAAATTTTGTGAATTGACGAAAATCACTATAATTTTCTCTAGCATTAAATTCTACCCTTGCACTATTCACTAATATTTCCTTGCACAAAATGTCTTGACTTGTAGATTGATAAATTTTCGACATGCTGAAATATCCACTTATACAGTAGTCAAGCACCATGTTCTCCTGACAGCTCTTGTCTAAATAAAATTATGAAATAATTAAAGTGCCTTAAACACGAGTTTATATAATTTTTATATTATTTAAAGTATGGTTATTATATATAATAATAGGGTATACATGTAAATGTGTTTTAAGAAAACAGAAAAAAAATCCATTTATAAATGCATGTTATGAATTATAGATAAGTTTTTCGGGATAAAAAATTGTAACACATTACAAGCATGCACCAATTTTTACACATTTATACAGTAATTGCTGGATTAAATGCAATACATTGTATATAGCTGGATTAACTATTTGTTATACCATATAAACTACCAACATGACCCAACAGGCTATTTTTACATCTTATTCTTACACAATTTGCTGCTTAAAATACTTAAATTCTACTATAATTTGTTTTTATGTGATTTTAACATAGTTTTTGGTGATACCTTGGTGGTCAATCTATTTTATTGGCTTTCCTGGTTAACTGACCAGTAATGATTGATTTCTCCACAAGTGAACAGCTAATTTTCGCACATGATTTCTGAATCAGCTGTAAGAGATAACTGACCACAATGTTTGAGATAATGTGTCACACTCACTCGTCACAACCTTACATGGTTATCATAATGAACTGAATATTCAAATTTATGCTGGCAGTGTCAGATTCTTATATATTTACATGTACAATAAAAACTTACAAAAGGTTTTTTCCTTATCTTATTTTTGTATTATTGTACAAAATTTACTGATCTATTTTACCTTACTTTATATTGAATGTCACAATTGACATATAAACAATTTCGCTTAGAATTCTAATATTGTGTTTTATGAGAAAACTTCAAAATTAGCAATTTTATTACTGTTTAGTTGAGCAAACTCCTTTTTTTTGTCATATAAAAAAATTAGTTTGTATTTTGTTTTATCAGCATTTTCCCTTTTGTTTTTACATTACACACTTTTTGTGTAAAGTTTACAAGTTATTGTACATGTATAATCTAGATGTAGTAGTTAGAGGTGAAAGTATATAATATAATTGATATAATATAATCATAAAATGAATATATACATGTATTTTAAATGAATGTCCCTATATAATCAAGTAATCTTTCATTAATAATTTAATAAATATACAGAGCAAGATACAGTTAAAGTGAAGTTCAGAGAGTAAGATTTAATTTTTCACATATTAATAAATTTTAGTGTATGGTACCGTAAGAAAATTGAGAAAAATGACAGAACTATTAGAATTATTACTTATTATAAGCAGCTTGCAGGCTGTATCATGGTACTGCCCATCCATGGCCCTCTCTCCCGCATTTCTTTAATATTGAATCCGGTCCAGGTGGGAATTGGTAGTAATTTATTTTTTAAAGAAATTGCAATGCTAATTCTGTATGATAAATTGATGCAAAGATGTTCTTCAACGTTATAGTTTAAAATCATTATTTATTTTCACTCATTTTATTATCACATATACCATCTAATACATTACTCATTTCATATAATTTTATGCCTCCCTTATCCCCACATCAGTAGCCTTAGCTCAGAGGTGGTAGGGGGTGGGGGCGGAAGTGGTGTTGGGAGCAAAATTGCTTTTAACCTGTATGTTTTTTTCATGCTTTCTGAATACAATTTTGACAATGCTCATTGTACTATAAGCTAAAGCCTTATTGCTTTAATACAACATAGCACTGGCCAAGGTCTTTATTTAGACATGATGAAATATGACCTTGACCTCTTAATGACATTGACCTTATTAAAGGTCAACTTTTAGGAAATTTTACCATAATTTTGTTGATTTTGGATGAGGACACAAGTGTTTTTATGAACACATCATGTTACAGGTGAATGAAGAAGTTAGATTTAAATATTTTATTGTATGCGTGACTTTAAAGTTAAAAAAAAATATCTGCATAATGCAACATACCAAATACTTAAACACGCCATAATATGTTCATATTGTACATCGTTTTTTATGGGTTTGGTTAACATTGTTCAGGAAACAATATTTGTGAAACATTTACATTTTAAAATGTTTTTCATAAAAACTTTTGAATTTGTATTTAGCTTTTTTTGAATGTTACTATAGTACATATTCTGGTGGCAAACCCACCTGACCTTTTTGTCTAAAATATAATAAAAACATGTGACCTCTTTGTTCAGATAATGTCAATGGCTGAATTTTTGAGGAAAGGTTGGTGAAAAAGAGATTTGAGAGTTGATATTATCAAAAATAATATTCTTGATTTAATTATTGTTACTTTTTTATTAGACATTTATACACTTGGTATTAAATAAAAAGTATAGACGTATATGTATGAAATAAAAAAGTATACATGTATAACTAATAGTGTGAAATAAATGCTGTTTGTTAAATTTTTAGGTGAAATATATGTGTGTCACATATTGAGATATGAACTCTTTTGTGAAATAATGATTTTTTGTTGAATGTTTTTAATAACAGTTGGATAAAAATGAATTTATAACAAAAATGAAATAAATGCTCTGTGTTAAAAGGAATATGATTAAAAAAAAACTTACAAGTTACTATGTTTTTATGTCTTTGTATTTCACATTTGAGTCTCATTATATAATACATGTATATGCAAAATATGTTTTACTTGCTAAAACTTCAAATGATGATATGTCGTTCATTTTTTTCAAAATGGTTATGTTAAATAATATAACAGAAAAAATAAAACAAGTCTTTCATTGATTTATGTGTCATTTTTTGTTCTGGAAGGCCTTTATTTGTGGCCGTACCGACAAGGTCATTAAGAGCTTTAGATATATGGAAGGTGGGTTCTATGATTTACGTCGTCTTTTACCTGAAATAAAGGAGCACTTTGGACGTCAAAATATAACGTATGACGCAGACCCCTTGCTGTCCATATTTCAATGTCAGTTTTACTAATGCCGACACGGGAAAGAAGCGCAACTTTTAAGAACTTTAATAATTTTTGAAATCTATTCCCTTTGTTTCATTTTCTTTTGCAATAATTAAAATCTGCCTGAGATATAACGTCAGATGTATAATATAAAAGTAGCGGGAAAAGAAAATCAGGTGTCAAATTTTGGCATCATTTATGTTTCAGGTTACTGATTTAATGCCAAACTGTTGACAATTTTGTCCAGATCTTGTGCCCAGTCCAGGTGTATATAAATTTACAAAAAGATAACACCAAAAATAAAGGACTGATCAGAAAATGTCTGACTTTTGTCCTTTTTGGCGATTTTAATTGTTAAGAAATTTTGTTTAATGTTTGAGTGAATTTCATTTTGTTTGCCAAGAAAGACAAAGTTCATTATGAGTTGGTATGCATGAACAATAAATAACATATCGGCTGTTTGGAACTCTTAATTGCATAAACGAATGGCCATTAAATTTTGATGATGTCCTTACATGCAATTATTATTTAATTAAATAGCTTATCGTCTAAAGCGTATCTGTTTTTATACTGTGACAGGAACGCCGCATCAGACAAATGAAAAAACAAAACAAACATGTTTATAAAGCGGCTTATAAAGTTTTGGAAGTCACAACTAACCCTTGACTTGCTTGAACCGAAAGTTAGGAGCCTGTGCTACCAGTACAGAGCCAGACCGCCCCTGCACATCCATGAAGTCTTACTAGGCTTAACATTTATAGCTTAACATCTTGATATTCCTCGATCGATAATGGATAGTTCCAATAATGGACAAGTTCATTTATGATATGTAGCGCGCAAATCGGCTTCACAGCAACTTTAAAATATGACCTTGCACGCCTCAAGATGAGCCAAAATATTTCAAGAAATTCAATCTTTAGAAAAATGTATTAAGATCTCAAGAAAAGTAAAAATATTAAGTATTTATTGAAATATTTACACAATATGTGCGATTAATGGCTGATTTTGCAGTATCAATCGCTAAAATACTACTGCGTTACTAACGCAATAAGAGATATTTATGTATATTATGGTAGTTTACAATACGTGGAGGGGGCGTCCCTGGCCGAGTGATTAAGGTCGTTTACTTCAAACCACTTGCCCCTCACCGCTGT